CGGCGCGGCTCCGGGTCGGACCCAAGCCCGGCAACCCCGGCCGGAGCGCGGCTCGATTCCTGGGGGCGGGGCTTGTAGCAAGCCCCGCCCCCAGGCATCGGGCCCTGCTCTTGCTAAAGCCGGCCCTGCTCTGTCTCATACCTTCACCCATATTATTTCACTCAATCTCTCTCCCTCTCAGCCACTTCCTTTTTCACCCCTCTTTTTCTCCGCAGCTCCCTGGGTTTGAGTGTGGTGGTCTTGCCTCGTTCCCTCCAGGTTACTGTGAGTTCTGTATCTGATGGGACGTTTTACCTTCACTTGTCCTCTGGACACTTTCAGGGGAGCATGTGCTGGTTAGGGAAGCCTCGGCTGTCACAGCTTTTCTCTCCATTCCTGCCAAATCGGAGAGAGAAACACATATTAATAAAGAGCTGTAGAACAACTTCTCATCACTATCTGCATGGCAGTGGCCAGCGGAAGCTAGTGGGCCATTGTGCTAGGTGCTATACTGACACAGACTACAAAGATGGTCCCTCTCCAAAAGCACTTAAAATCTAAACATTTAAAAGACAAAACTCTAAAGGCTAAGTTCTTACTGGCCGTGAAAAACGCGTCACGGGCTGTGAAATCCCTTCTTCCCCATGAAATCTGGTCTTCTGTATAGTATAGGGTAAAAGTACACCAATTTTACAGGGGAGACCAACGTTTCTCAAACTAGAGGTCCCAACCCAAAAGAGGGTTGTGTGGGGGGGTCACAGTATTGCCACCCTTACTTCTGCCCTGCCTTCAGAGCTGAGTGGTCGAAGAGCAGCAGCTGCTGGCCAGGTACCCAGCTCTGAAGGCATCACCCCATCAGCAGCAGCGCAGAAGTAAGGGTGGCAATTCCAAAACCCCCTACAATAACCTTGTGACCCCTCCACTCCCCCTTTTGGGTCAGGACACTTGCAGTTACAACACCATGAAATTTCAGATTTAAATATCTGAAATCATGAAATTTATGATTTTTAAAATCCCATGACCATGAAATTGACCAAAATGGACCGTGAATTTGGTAGGGCTCTACCTGTGGGAATTACACAGCCAGTGCCCGCTGTGCTCTGTGGAACAACTATTATTTGCATTGCCATAGTGTGCAGGAGACCCAGCCACAGATCAGGACCCCCCTGTGCTAGGGGCTGTACAAGCACAGAACAAAAGGTCCCTGCCTCAAAGAGCTTGCAGTGGACCAAATTCTGCAGCAGAACTCCTAAATTCCACCAACAGGGTGAATTCCTTGGAAAATTCTATGGCTGCTGAAACAGTCCACAGGGTCCTGATTGAGATGAATGGGACAGATCACACCTCTCTCAGCCATTTTTCCTCAAAGCCATTGTTTCAGGCTCTCTGCAGACTCAGGTAGGTGACACTGCATCTGTTTCCATTTTCTCCATCATCATAAAGCCTATAAACATATCTGTTCCAATAGGAAAATTCAGATTATGAAGAACAGTTCTGGGGCAAGGACTCAGTTCCCCAGCAAACCCCGCAGCCATGGAATTGTGGAATACCCTAGGCCCTGTGTCTAGGTGTAGCTGAAGTCAGAATTTGGGCCAGCCCAGGTTCCGCCTTCACATATTACCAGCCCAGCTAACATAGCCTCCTTCCCTGCACACAGTCCTTCCACTCCACACTTCTACCTGCTTCTCACTACTCCTTCACAGCCCCACGCTGCCCCCACCACAGTCCTTGACTTTCCCCTACCCTTCAGCTCCTGACACCAGACCTAAAGGATGAGCAGAAATGTGAGGGGGCATGGAAAGGTTACAGCATATGTGGGGCTTGAGGGGTAGAGAGTGGGGATATAGGAAAAAATAAGGGGATTGGGAGAGCCTGGAAAGGGGGCCAGGATGCCTCTCCAGATAGATTTCCCCTAGGATGGGAGAGGATACAGAGCAAACAGGGCTACTAGAAGTGAAGGAGAAGAGAGAAAGGGACTTGGCAAAGGTGTCTGGTGCATCCAACCAGCTGAGAGCAGAAGATGCCCAGAGGTACACTTAGTCACACCCACTAGGCCCCATGTCTCAGAGAACGCGGAAGCGCAATACACTCCCGTGCAGTATTGGGACGCAGAGCTGCGTTGAGGACTGTGCAGTCAGTGCATTGCCTGCATAGCCCTAGTCTCTGCAACAGCGAGCAAAGCCCTCCCTGTAAGATTCTGCCCCCTCCCGGCAGCATGGTCCCTTGGGGAGCCCAGTCTGGGGAGTGCTATGGAAACAAGGGCTTCCGTTTACCTTCAAACGAGGGACCCTGAAGCCTTTGCAGGGTTGTGTAAATGATCAGTGAGGCTGCTTCGCTGAATGGGTATTCCTTGTGCTGCTCAGAAATGTTTTCCTGAGACTCGAGGCTCTCCAGCATCATTTCCACGGTGTGGCGGTGAAATGAAATGAAGTCCCCTTCTCCGCAGCGTCTGCATTTGTGAGCCTGCCCTTCTAGATAGCTCACACACTTGAGATGTAAGGCTTTCTTCTGGCTCTTCAGCCAGATCTCGTAGGCCGCTTCCTGCAGCAGTGGCATGCAAAACGCCATGACGCCGCATTGTATCACCAGCTGCTCTTGCTTGATTAGGTTATAAACAGAAGAGCGGATACCTGAAAGATAACGTGGATTTATCCATCCCCTCTCAGCGAGGCCAGCATTTGAGCACACAAGGCTCTGTTTCTGCTGCAGCCACTGATGCAACTGTCCACACTAAAGGTGTAACACGGCCCTGGGGGGTGGGTCATTGGTGGTAGGGATCAAACCTAGGACCACCAGATCTGAAAGCATGAGACATTACTGCCAGAGCTAAAAAATGCAGTCCTTAGCCATGGATGTAGCAGGCTCCTCAACCACCAGATTTGGGCCAGAGTTCCACACTGTATGAATTATCACCACTTGGCTATACACCAGCGGACGACAAAATAATCTCATCCACTTTAATTCACACCTGTTGCTATTGTTGGTGCCAGACTTGCACCGAAATAACAAAAGATGTGAAATAACAAAAGATGTGTGGTGATTTCTGTGCCAATCTGTGTGTAGACAAGCTCTTAAATGCTGTAGGGAGAGTTTGGTGGAATCTAGGTGAGGTAGAAGGAGAATAGAACAAAATAAAAAATTCAGGTAAGACATATTAGCTCATACCAGCCCGTTTTGACCTCTGTTCGTCCTCACAGTATGTTAGGGGTTTTTGAATGACTATATTTTAGTGCTTTAATGTATATGCTGCCACATCATGGTTATTATTGTTTGTATTAAAGTAATTCAACAGAGATCTCAACTGAAATGAGGGTTACATTATCCTGGGAATGCATAAATGCGTAATAAAAGAAAATCCCTGCCCCAATAAGTTTATAATCTACATATGAGTCAGAAAAGTGGGGGACGGGAAACTGAAACACAGAGAGGTGAAGTGACTTGCAGGTCAGTGGCAGAGCCAGAAGTAGAGCTTAGGTTTCCTGTATGTGTCAGGTCAGTTTCCTATCCTCTGGACCCAACTGTCTCTCTCTAGATACCGCAGGAGTGACTTGAATGCATTTACAATAGCATTCCTAATAGCATTTCTAATGCTTCAACAGAAAGAAAAAAGGCATTGATGATTACCCTGAAACAGATGCTTCTCAGGAGTTTATTTCAAAGTGTGATGCGAGATTCCGTTGTGTAGGCTGTGACTGTCAATAGATACATTTAAGATGTAAGAAAGTACTAAAAACTACAGGCAAAAAAAATCTAATGATCTGTACAGTCCCTTCCTACTAGAGACAGCCCCTGCACTTTATGCATGTTAACAAGAAGGATTCACAGAGCACTCTGGAAAGATCACCAAGAACACAGACAAGGAGCAGTGGGATTTCAGCACACTCTGATGCCCCCAGTCTCTGGCCAGCTCCACGTACCTGACTCTTGTCCAATTGGTCTCACCGTCCTGGGGCAAACAAGTAACTCTGTGGAGGGCATATCCTGTGATTGTGCACTCTGGGAGTCCTTTCTTTTATTAAAACACTTGAAGATGTGGGAATCCACCAGGGCTGCAAGCGTCTGATTCATCTTTCTCTTGGTCCATTCGGGAAGGATGTGGAGCAGCAGATCAGTCGTGAAAGTCAGCCCGATGATAGCCGCACACTTCACTACCATCTGCTCCGAAGGGCTCATGTTGTCTAACTCAGCCAGTGCAATGCCTACCGAAAACAAGTCATTCAGTAAATCATCACTTCTCCATGCTGGGTGCTCCTGAGAGATCAAGACAGTAAGATTACAGTGGTTAGCTGTGGCGTTGGGAGTGAGAGGAGGATGGACGTCCTGTCTGGATCCTGTCCTTTTTACCCTACAAATGAACTGACCTGAAGAAGCTAACACATCAATTATCTCTTCTGAAAGCTGCCTTCACCAGCAACTACTGATAATGGGCAGTCACAGGGAATTCACACACTGGATTTTTGTACTGACCATGAGTTGATCACCATAACTGCTCAGTACCTTGATTTGACTGTAGAATTTATTAGGAGGACTGTGTTTATATTAATTCTTAATAGTTTGTCATTTAAATGAGACTTAAAGCGGCTTCCCAGAACAGCATCAGGACTCTGCTGCGCTGAGCTAGAGTGCCAACTACTGGACTAGAGGCCTGGCATGACTCCAAGAGCAGACCAATGTATTTAGGGATTAGATTGGGGCAAAAAGAGGAGAGAACCTTTTACAGTACAAATGCCAGAAGAATGCCTGTTAAGCAGACTGTAGTGAGACTGAGTGGCCTCCCTCAAAGCTGGAGAGCAAGGGACCACTACACTCCCCGTAGTGAGCAGGGCTAAATCTGCCACTCCCCCCTCACCAGAAGTCCTGGGGCGGGACAGAAAGTATAAAAGGAGAACCCCAGAGCTCAGTTGGGGCTGGAACACTGGAGGGAGCAGCAGATTTATTTTAAAGAATCCTTATTGAGGTTGCAGGGAAAAAAATCCCGATGTGTAGAAAGAATAGTAAATACGGCAGGAGACCAGCTTGGCTTAACAGTGAAATCCTTGCTGATCTTAAACGCAAAAAAGAAGCTTACAAGTAGTGGAAGATTGGACAAATGACCAGGGAGGAGTATAAAAATATTGCTCAGGCATGCAGGAGTGAAATCAGGAAGGCCAAATCACACTTGCAGTTGCAGCTAGCATAGGGTTACCATATTCAAACATTTAAAAAAGAGGACACTCCACGGGGCCCCGGTCCCGCCCCCGGCCCTGCCCCAACTCCGCCCCTTCCCCGCCCCCTTCCCCGCCCCAACCCCACCCCTTCTCCGCCCCCATTCCAACCCCTTCCCCAAAGTCCCTGCCCCAACTCTGCCCCCTCCTCTGAGCACCCCGCATTCCCCCTCCTCCCTCCCGCTCTGATCTTGGTTGGGGGTTGCTAAGTTCTTCCCTGCTCCCCACTCGCCCCGCAGCCCCTGCAGCCTCTATGCCCTTGCCTGCCCTGCTTCTCCTCACCCTGCAGCCTCTGCACCCCCCCTGCCCCTGCAGCCTCTGTGCCCCCTGCTCCCCACTCGCCCTGCAGCCTCTGCGCCCCCCTGCCCCTGCAGCCTCTGTGCCCCCTGCTCCCCACTCGCCCTGCAACCTGTGCACCCCCCCGCCCCTGCAGCCTCTGTGCCCCCTGCTCCCCACCCCCCACTCCCCCGCCGCCTGCCCTGCTCCCCCCGCTCACCCAGCAGAGGGAGAAATGCGGGCTCCACGTGGACTCAAACACTTCCGAGCTGCTCTGTGGGGGAGGAGGGAGCGGGGGAGGGGGAGGGACTCTGGCTGCTAGAGGCCCTAGTGGCTGCGAGCGGCTTTCAATCAGGCCAGGCGTCCAATCAGCCGCGCCGCACTCCGCAGGAGGGGAAATCCCGGACATTTCTACTTCATTAGAAATCCCCCCGGACGGCCATTTAAGGCTGAAAAAGCCGGACATGTCCGGGGAAACCCGGACGGATGGTAACCCTAAGCTAGCAAGAGATGTTAAGAGTAATAAGAAGGGTTTCTTCAGGTATGTTAGCAACAAGAAGAAAGTCAAGGAAAGTGTGGGCCCCTTACTGAATGAGGGAGGCAACCTAGTGACAGAGGATGTGGAAAAAGCTAATGTACTCAATGCTTTTTTTGCCTCTGTCTTCACGAACAAGGTCAGCTCCCAGACTGCTGCACTGGGCAGCACAGTATGGGGAGGAGGTGACCAGCCTCTGTGGAGAAAGAAGTGGTTTGGTTCAGGACTATTTAGAAAAACTGGATGAGCACAAGTCCACGGGGCCGGATGCGCTGCATCCAAGGGTGCTAAAGGAGTTGGCGGATGTGATTGCAGAGCCATTGGCCATGGTGATCGGAGGAGGCCCCGGATGACTGGAAAAAGGCTAATGTAGTGCCCATCTTTTAAAAAGGGAAGAAGGAGGATCCGGGGAACCACAGGCCAGTCAGCCTCACCTCAGTCCCTGGAAAAATCATGGAGCAGGTCCTCAAGGAATCAATTCTGAAGCACTTAGAGGAGAGGAAAGTGATCAGGAACAGTCAGCATGGATTCACCAAGGGCAAGTCATGCCTGACTAACCTAATTGCCTTCTATGATGAGATAACTGGCTCTGTGGATGAGGGGAAAGCAGTGGATGTGTTATTCCTTGACTTTAGCAAAGCTTTTGATACGGTCTCCCACAGTATTCTTGCCAGCAAGTTAAAGAAGTATGGGCTAGAGGAATGGACTATAAGGTGGATAGAAAGCTGGCTAGATCGTCGAGTTCAACGGGTAGTGATCAATGGCTCCATGTCTAGTTGGCAGCTGGTTTCAAGCAGAGTGACCCAAGGTTGGTCCTGGGGCCGGTTTTGTTCAATTTCTTCATTAATGATCTGGAGGATGGCGTGGACTGCACTCTCAGCAAGTTTGCAGATTACACTAAATTGGGAGGAGTGGTAGATACGCTGGAGGGTAGGGATAGGATATAGAGGGACCTAGACAAATTAGAGGATTGGGCCAAAAGAAACCTGATGAGGTTCAACAAGGACAAGTGCAGAGTCCTGCACTTAGGATGGAAGAATCCCATTCACTGTTACAGACTAGGGACCGAATGGCTAGGAAGCAGTTCTGCAGAAAAGGACCTAGGGGTTACAGTGGACAAGAAGCTGGATATGAGTCAACAGTGTGCCCTTGTTGCCAAAAAGGCTAACGGCATTTTGGGCTGTATAAGTAGGGGCATTGCCACCAGATCGAGGGACGTGATCATTCCTCTCTATTCGACATTGGTGAGGCCTCATCTGGAGTACTGTGTCCGGTTTTGGGCCCCACACTACAAGAAGGATGTGAAAAAATTGGAAAGAGTCCAGCGGAGGGCAACAAAAATTATTAGGGGGCTGGAGCACATGACTTATGAGAGGCTGAGGGAACTGGGATTGTTTAGTCTGCAGAAGAGAAGAATGAGGGGGGATTTGATAGCTGCTTTCAACTACCTGAAAGGGGGTTCCAAAGAGGATAGATCTAGACTGTTCTCAGTGGTACCAGATGAGAGAACAAGGAGTAATGGTCTCAAGTTGCAGTGGGGGAGGTCTAGGTTGGATATTAGGAAAAACTTTTTCACTAGGAGGGTGGTGAAGCACTGGAATGGGTTACCTAGGGAAGTGGTGGAATCTCCTTCCTGAGAGGTTTTTAAGGTCAGGCTTGACAAAGCCCTGGCTGGGATGATTTAGTTGGAAATTGGTCCTGCTTTGAGCAGGGGGTTGGATGACCTACTGAGGTCCCTTCCAATCCTGATATTCTATGATTCTATGTCTCTTCTAGGGAGCTGGAATCTCAACATGATCCCAGACTAGCAGGGCCGTCCTTAGGCATAGGAGGCTACTTAGGGCACCTGAAAATTTAGAGCACCACTGGGTCTTAGTGTCCCCCTCCTGCCTCTTCCTATCCCTGTTCTGACCCTTCCTGCAGGCTCCCATAGCTGGCTGCTGCAGCCTGGTGACTCTTACTCCAGAAGGGATCTAGTAACTTAAAAGTGAAAAAGTCTTCAACCCTACCAGACCCTTCAGCCTTCCTTCATAGGTCATGTTCTCAAGACCTTTAATCATTCTTGTTGCTCTTCTCTGGACCCTCTCCAATTTCTCCACATCTTTCTTGAAATGCGGTGCTCAGAACTGGACACAATACTCCAGATGAGGCCTAACCAGCGCAGAGTAGAGCGGAAGAATGACTTCTCGTGTCTTGCTCACAACACACCTGTTAATACATCCCAGAATCATGTTTGCTTTTTTTGCAACAGCATCACACTGTTGATTCATATTTAGCTTGTGGTCCACTATAACCCCTAGATCCCTTTCTGCTGTACTCCTTCCTAGACAGTCTCTTTCCATTCTGTATGTGTGAAACTGATTTTTCCTTCCTAAGTGGAGCACTTTGCATTTGTCTTTGTTAAACTTCATCCTGTTTACCTCAGACCATTTCTCCAATTTGTCCAGATCATTTTGAATTATGACCCTGTCCTCCAAAGCAGTTGCAATCCCTCCCAGTTTGGTATCATCTGCAAACTTAATAAGCGTACTTTCTATGCCAATATCTAAGTCGTTAATGAAGATATTGAACAGAGCCGGTCCCAAAACAGACCCCTGCGGAACCCCACTTGTTATGCCTTTCCAGCAGGATTGGGAACCATTAATAACAACTCTCTGAGTACGGTTATCCAGCCAGTTATGCACCCACCTTATAGTAGCCCCATCTAAATTGTATTTGCCTAGTTTATCGATAAGAATATCATGCAAGACTGTATCAAATGCCTTACTAAAGTCTAGGTATACCACATCCACAGCTTCTCCCTTATCCACAAGACTCGTTATCCTATCAAAGAAAGCTATCAGATTGGTTTGACACGATTTGTTCTTTACAAATCCATGCTGGCTATTCCCTATCACCTTACCACCTTCCAAGTGTTTGCAGATGATTTCTTTAAGATTATAAAATCACATCTCTAAAAAATCCTTGCATAGATTTTTAGATACACAATCATCTTCAGCCTTAAATGCTTGGATCTTCAGACATAGTTTTTTAAATAAATCCTTCAAAAGACCACCCTTATCTAAAATACACATTTTAATTTTAATTACTATAGTAAAAAAACTTTGCTTCCAAAATCTTCCTGTCCATCCCTTTCTCCCTTCATATGCCCCCCCCCCCATTGAAGAGAGCCCTTAAAGGGACAACACCCCTTTCCTTCCAGATAGCTGGACAAAGAGTTTCCCTTTCTTTACTTCTGACTATATGATGAACTAGTTTTAAGAGAACCCTCCAGCAAAATCAGTACTTAGTAAGATATAACATCCTTTGTTATGCCTAAAATCTTTGGAAACATATATTTTAAAGTTGGCGAAATTTCATAAGCATGTCTATTGTTATGGAGATCACACAAAGTAAATTCCACACACAAAGTAAGTTCCCTTTTTCTAAAAGCAATGAACATTGTTATGAACACACTAAACCTCTGTGACTGATTAATTTAAAATAATATTTTTGTTTCAGTGAGTTAAATATGTAGTAATCTGGAATGATTACTTTATGAAGGCTTAAGAGTACATTTAAAATATAAAATCAGCTTAGAAATACTGATTAAGAAAATGTAAAACAGAGAAGAGTTGCATCATGTATTCCATACTTAATGTTGTATTCAGCAAGACAGCTGACTCGCCCTTACTACAAAGTTTTTGCAAATAAATCTCTGACAAACTTCAGGGCATATCAAAAAACCTGTGACTGACATTTTTTTATTTCCAAGTTTAGTGCTTTTAATTAGGTACCTTCTGCATGTCCAGTCTTCACCATCTGGCATGCAGTGGAAAACATGCCCCATTTTCTTTAGAAAGAAATTGCAGAAGAGTGTTTTTTTTCAAATGTCATTTGCTTCATTTGGGTTCAGGGATTTGGCTGGAAGGGGGTGAGCACGATGGGGGAGGGAAGAGAGGAGGGAGACAATGGGGAGAGGGTAGGGCCTGGGTGGAGTGGGGTGGGGCCTGGAGCGGAGCAGGAGTGGAGTATGGGTGAGGCCACAGGCAGAAGAGGTGGGCTGGGGAGCTAGCCTCCCCAAGGGGCAGCTTCACCCACTGCCCATGACAGGAGGTAAGAGCAGGTTGGCTCCTGCACACCCAGTGCACACTGCAGTCTCCTTAGGCAGGGGCTATATTCACAGAGCCGAATGTGCCAGCACCACGCATTCTGTGTGAGGGAGAGGGTAAGGGGGTCTCTGCGGGGAACTGTGACTCTCCACCACCGTGAGGCAGGCCGGGGGGGCCGGTATCTTTTGCTGCCTCGTCCCTAACCCCCCCGCCCCCCCCGGGCTGCTGTCGGGCATAGGGGCACCAGTTTAATAATACTGCGTAGGGCCCCTTAAATCCTAAGGACGGCCCTGCAGACTAGGCCCTGAGTGGAGCTGCGCCCTGCGGTCGGAGGAGACAGACGAGAATCCCCAAGGATTCCCCGCCACCAGGGCCAGCTTTAGGCCAATTCCCCGGAATCGGGCCCCGCGGGTAAGAGGGCCCCGCACCCGCACCTAAGAGGGCCCCGCGCTTTAGGCTCACACGGCAGTGGTCCGCTCCGGAGGCATTTCGGCGGCGGGGGGTCCTTCAGTGCCGCAGAAGATGCGGAGCGGACCCCTCCGCCGCCGAAGACCCGGACCGCGAAATCGGGCCCCGCAGGTCCTAAAGCCGGCCCTTACTGCCACCGTTAGGGGCCTGGGCTGGGACCCAGTGGAGTAGGGTGGGCCCGGGTCTCCGTATCCACTGCTGCCAACCCCACCCCTGGGGTGGCAGTCTACCCACCTTAGCAGTGGCGGCTCCAGACAGCAGCGCACCAAGCACGTGCCTGGGGCGGCAAGCCAGGGGGGGCGCCCTGCCGGTCCCTGCGAGGGTGGCAGTCAGGCAGCCTTCGGTGGCTTGCCTGCGGGAGGGATGCTGGTCCCGTGGATTCGGCGGCAATTCGGCGGCGGGTACACCAAAGCCGCGGGACCGGCGGACCTCCCGCAGGCAAGCCGCCGAAGGCAGCCTGCCTGCCGTGCTTGGGGCGGCAAAAAAGCTAGAGCCGCCCCTGCACCTTAGGCTGGATGGTCTGCGCTTGCCTGCTTTTGCTCTGCCCCAGCCAGGAGGTTGTGGGCCATAGACTGTTAATTGCTGTCTGCTCCAGTCAGGAGGTTGTGGGCCATAGACTGCCTGTGCTCTACCCTCCCCCTCTCCCTCTCCCGGGCCAGAACTTCCCCATAGACTATTGATTACTACCTGCCTGTAGTGAGGCGGGGTGGCCTCCATCCCCACTTGAGAGTGAGGAACCACTACACATACTTCTTGCCTAATTGGAAGGTCTGGCCTATTCTGCAGAGCTCAGACTCGTGCTTCTCCGCTTTGCTCCAAAGTTCAGACCTGCGCTGTCTGCCGCATTCAAGCTCCCAGGCCCTTTTTAACTGCTGCCCTTAAGGAACAGAAACATTGTGTCCCCACTGGCTGGAGACATCAGGATCAGAACCTCACCTTTTAAGGTAGGGGGCAGCATAATATTTTGCAACTTAACATTCTGGCGAATGGTGCAAATGTACAATTCATTGTCTGAGCTGGAAAGCGATTCCGTTTTGGAGGGGATGACCTTGATGGCATTGGCTGCACGGAGAGAAAGAGGAGAAAAAACAATTACAAGAACTCACATTTTAATTTGTTTGCTTTTTAAATCTATCCAAAGCAAAACAATACTTGACAAGATCTAATGGGAACAGCCATTATAACCATTTGGGTGTGAGAATAAACTCTATCACCCAGAATGCAAAACAGGTTCCGTTGCATTTCTACTTAATCACAACATTCCGAGGCTGGCTCTTCTGGGGGCCAAATCTTTGGTGTCTCCTAGATTTCCCAGACTAAATCAGATCAATGCCTATTTTAGGAGGAAACCGTAACTCTTCTTCCCTAATGGAAATTTGGCACTAATATATGGGGAAGTACTAGCCTAATCCCAGGAAATAAATGGCTGGTTTATGGCCTGCAGGAGCTGGGCTGCTATTTTTCTCTTCCCCCTTATTTATCTAGGAAGTTTTAAAAGGCTTACAGAATCATTGCCATGGAATTATTATCATTTTGTTTTTGATATTTACAACAGCTTTTATTTAAAGAAACATTATACAGCAATATAATCATCAAATCTCCCAGTTTAACAGGGTGTTACCTTTGCACTATGCAAGACGTTTTGTTTCTGGTGATTGTATTATTCTGATTACCCATTTATCAAGCCAGGCATGTCTATCAAATGTTAATAATCAAAAACATGGACAGATGTGCTGGGTTTGTTTTTGTTTTCAGGCAAATGTATTTTGTCTGAATATTGAACAACATATCTAAGAATCTATCCGCTACATTTCTCATATCTTAGCTAGTATAACTGCAAGTGATACCATTCCCATAAATATCAAAATCTTTTGGTTGGAAGATATTTGCCACCATAATACCTTGTATCAATTAGTCCACAGATTAACTGTGTGGTGAGTAGGAAAGTGTTTCCTTTAATGTTTTTAATATGTTGCTTTTTCATTTCACTGGGTGGCAGCATATTCTATTATGGAAAACTATAACTATTCACTATTAGAGGGGTAGCACATAGAGGAAACCTTTTAAGGTTGCTAACAAATTGCATTATAACCTTTTTTCAGTGACTTATAACTTTGTTAGGCATTAAGCTTTGGGACTGAAATTTTCCATGCTTGGTCTCTGCCTCAGATTTGGTTTTTTGAAAAGTTAAGACTTAAAATGGTTCAGCAGTTTTGTCAATGTTAAAAAAATGCATATTTTCCACCTGCCCTCTTTTTGAGCAGCTTTAGTGTCCCAAAGATTTGGAGCAGGAATAGAAATTTCTCAGGGACAAACAGCATCCAAGAGTTCTAACTCAGTCCCATGCTTTCATCACTCAACCTCACTCCCCTCCCAGAGACAGGAATGGAACCCTGCAACCCAGCATTCTACTGCTGAACGTACACCACTTACCCTCTCTGCTGCCTCCCCTGGCCCCAGTCTTGCCTCCTTTCCTAGCCTCCTCAGCTACTCTTTCCATTCCCCTCAGCACATCTCCTCTTTGCCCCTTGCACCCTCCTTCCTTCCCTGAATTCCAGCAGCCAGTGCCAGGCCGACAAACTTTCCCAGAAAGGTGAGAACTGCCTGGGAGGGTGAGTCACTATACACTATACATGGGCTGTGGCATTTAAGAACATAAGAACCTGTCTTGCAACAGTGGCCAATGCCAGGTGCTTCAGAGGGAATGAACAGACCAGGTAACCAAGTGATGATGAGTTAATGACAAGTAGCTTACTGAAAAGGCCCTCCCACTCATCATCTACTTCTTCCTCCTCCTCCCACAGATGGAAGATGAGCATGTTCTTTAAATGGAGGTTCCGCAGCAACTCCTCACAGTAAAATGGAATTCCATGGCTTCTCTGTATCAAGAACCTAAAGAGAGACAAAACTATCACTGACCATTAAAATAAGGGACTGTTATTCTCCTTGGGCGATGTTGGGGATGGTAGCTACGTAGATACCATGGTGACAGGTGCCTTAACAACATCTAAGGTTGCAGTTGAAATGGACGAGGCTGTATCAAGTGTCCTGTATGCCTCCTACGTGGTAGATTGCAGGGCTGTACTGAAGATACAGAGTGTGTTGTGGGGTGAATGAGCAGCAGGGCAGGGGATCAGGCTCATATTCAAATGACAGTCAGGTGTAAATCAGCACTTAACGTAGCTATGGTCGTTTACAACAGCTGAGGATCTGGCCCCATGTTTGTTTTTAAATGTTACTAATAGCAACTAGGTTACTAAAACTGGACCCATGTCAAGCCTAAATATTCTCTGCTAACTCATCACATAGGTGTCACCACCTTCCTGCAGAGTTCCAACCTGTCACAGCCAGCCTCTTCCTTAAACACCTTCCTCCTTTCTCCCATAAAGCCCTATCAGTCGCAGAAATGCTCTCTGGCAAAGTCCATCTAGTCCCCACCTTTTCCTTCTTCAAATCCCTCCTTAAAAGTCACCTCTGCCTTTATGCCTGCAAGACACTGTCAGTTGACATTGGCAAGGCAGATGGCAAGCCATAAGCACTGTTCATTGTGCTAAAATGTACTTGTTTGACTAACTCTCACCCTCCCATTCCCACCACCACCACCACCCTCTTTGGCTACCTGTTGTAACATACAGTCTCAGTGTTTTTAGGGCAGGGACACTGGAGCCCTCATCCTGACTGGCACCCTTAGGTGTTACTATAATATAAATAAATGCCAAGATTTTCAAAAATGGGAGCCTAAAGTAAGACTCTTAAATCCATATTTGGGCACTTAAATTGCCTGATTATTTCAAAAGTGCTGAGCACCCAGCAGCTCCCATTGACGTCACCCATACAACTTTAATTGTGCATACACACTATGATTCAATCTTTAATTAATTACTGTCCTCCTCTCCCCCACGGGACTTCTTGCTTCAGTCAATGCACACAATGGAATCTAGGATCCTATGGTTACACCAGTGTGGGGGTCACATAGGAGTCCTTGGAGTTATTTTAAGGGTCCCTTCTACAGTACTTATACAAAACCAGGAGGAGGGTAAGGAGATTCGCTTAGGCACATACAGCAGTTAGGCATCTAACTTCTGGTTGCTCTTTTGAAAATCTCTCCATTTTATACCAGGCTTTTGATTTGCAATGTTTTAAACAGGCTCGGCCAATATCTGTTGACCAGTTGCTATGACATTTGCGGCCTCTCAGCCACTTGAATTGCAAAGACTCAAAATGTCAGTAAAGCTTCCTTTGGCAAAATATCCCCCAAGTCCGCTCATTACCTGCTGTTTCATCAATTCACAGATTCTAAGGCCAGAAGAAACCACTGTGATCAGCTAGTCTCACCGCCAGTATAATACAGGCCATAGAATTTCCCTGAAATAATTCCTGTTGGAACTACAGCATATTAGAAAAAACATCCAGTGTTTTCGTACCATGCTTAGCTTTAGTATCTTAGCAAATATGGAAACAGTACTGGCATAGCCATCTGCATTACAGTAGTAAAATGGAAAAACCAATAAGGATAACATTTTAAAATGCACTGTGCAGGTTTTTGTTTAGTTGATTGCTTTTAGCTGAAAGCAGGTATCAAATAAGCTTTAATGAATTTTTAGCCTTGCCATTTGAATGAGTGAAAGGGCAACCTGGAGATAGACGTTCGCTAAGTCTGTTTATAAAACTGGAGATAGAAGCCTAGTACAGACTGGGTTTTACCTAAGCAAAAAGGGAACTGCTGATACAACGCTGAGGACTCTCAGCAGGTCACAAATGGATATAGAAATAGGCATAAAGAGTGTAGAACTGGAAGGAGTTGCCCAAATTTGAGATACTGCAAGCTGTGTTAAGCTGGCTGGAATAATGAAGATAGATGGGTGAGTAAGTCACCACCTGCCCCCTGTGGGACATGTTGAGAAGAGGTGTAGGAGCCACTGGCACTTGATGGCTGGGGGGTTACTCCAGAAAGCTTATGCTTTACTGTGAGGATTTTACCTTTGTTTGTGGGCTCTGGGAATTACTCTGAGGACATCCAGGCTTCACCTAGACTTTGGGCCCCATCACTGGACCAACTGGATCCCAGACTGCCTAGGGGATGGGAGACTGAAGATTTCTGTTGGTTTCTTCTCCCTCACCTGTCCCCGCTGCCTGATTCTATGCTCCTCCTCAGCTTCCATCCAACCAACTCTGAGGCTGACTGAACCACATTGGACCATCAAGACAGGCCAAGACACCCTCTCAAGCTCTGCAAGCCAGACATGCCACCACTGAACCTGTCTGGAGCTGCCCTGCCTGCATTGATTCCTGGGACAACCCCAGACAAAAAACCGCATTTCCCCAACCTTTGCTGCCTCACCTTCCCTCCCCCTCCTGTGCCAACCCCTTTGCCTAAAGAGCTGGAATAATCTCTGACCATGTTGACCTGAAACCCAGCAGCAAACCTAGCCTTTCTTTCCTTTCCCCAAAGGGGTAGGCCCTTTAATATCAGCAAAGAATTCTGACCACCTTCCCTCTAAAGGACTCTGATAAACACTCCAGTCAGACTAGTCCCAACGCAGAGCCACTTCCCTGTCAGAGCTCAAACAGCTCAGACTGTATTTTCCCTCTTTGCGTTGAGTGAGTAGTTGAAGGAATTTTGACAGGGCAGTTGCTGTACTAAGGTGCACTCACACCTGACTGCTGAATGGTGGGGCAGGAAACAAAGGTCAAGTTAACATCTTAGCCTTCTGTGCTCACCACTCTTCACCACAACGGAGGGGATGGATGGTACCACCTTAGCTCTCTGCCTAGGAGCAAACTGATCGAGAGATCCCCCAAGCAACCGCCCTGGCATGTATTTGCAAGCCAGAACATTAGAAGGCAGTGACAAGCCAAGAGCTATATGTTAATAACAATAATATCTGGACTTTCTATAGTGCTTTTCATCAGTGCTTTTTCAGAGTCAGTATAATCATCTTCATTATACAGATGGGGAAACTGAGGGACAGAGAAACAACGTGACCTGCCCAAGGTCACCCAGTAAGCCAGTGATAGAGCCAGGAATAAACCTCAGTCCCAATCCAGTGCTCTATCCACTAGGCTACAGTGAATCTTTGCCAAGCCCTAGATGGAACAGCATACAGTTAGGACCAACCATGTTTTACTAGGTGCTAGGCTATTGGGCTGTTTTGACCCTGCTTTCATGGACCCTACAGAGTCAGTCACTTGGCCATGAGCCATTTGGTTCCTCCTTTATGGACCTGCTCCCCTCTGTTTTGCAGAGAAAGGTTGGTTTGCAGCTAAGAGCACAGATCAGGTGCCTATCACTTACGTTTCTAGCTCCCGGGGGATGCTGACCACCCCAAGGTCCTGGCAGGCTTTTTGCAGGATCACAGAGGGCTTTAGCTCCCGCAGCTGAACATAGGTGGTCTTTGTGCTCTTAATGATGTTTGCAGCAGAGACACAAGGCAGCCATGCTTGGCGGCTGGGAGGAGATAGAGACATGACCATAAACACTGGGATGTTGGAGAGCAAGTTGTCCAGAAATTCCCATGATGCAGGATCAATGAAGTGGGCTTCGTCAATGACAAAAATGAGAATGTCTTTGTCCACTACCTAAAAAAGGGCAAAAAATCGCCTGAATAAGGTGTTGCTTCAGTTACGTATATCTTGCCTTCAGGCCAGGGCCAGGGGTGTCATACCCCCACCCCCGTGACCGCTACTCCAACCTATGGGGTGGAAGAGCAGCTGCAGCTCCTTTGTGTTGGTTAGATAGGATACGGGGATCTGCACAGTAGCGTAGCTAGGGGGGTGCAGGGGAAGCAGCCGCTTCCCCTCAGCACATTTTTCAAAAGCGGCGCCTGCCGGGCCGGCGCTGGGCTCCTGCAGGCAAGGGGGGGCAGCATGGCCAGAGGAGCCATTGGGGGGGCGGGCACGGCCGGAGGAGCGAAGGGGCCGGCTCCTCGGCCATTGCGCCCCATGCTCAGCGTGGCCCCAGCAGCATCTCCCAGCAGCGGCTCGCAGCCCATTATACAGTGCAAAGAGAGGCAGGGATGGGAGAGGGGACGAAAAGCCCCAACACGTCTAATGTCCCAAGCGCCTCCCGGAAGCAATCGGGGGACAAATATCAGGAAGTAGCAACAGGCTTCTTCTCCGGGTCCAGTGCTGGGCTGCCAAGCACACCCGCCCGGGCTGAGGGAAGCAGGAAGCTGCCGGAGAGAGGGGGGGATCTGCCCGCCTGGCAGCTGCTGCCCACCCCACTGCTCCGCTCCCTCCCAGCCCCCAGGAGAAGCGAGCAGCGCCCGCCACCACTTCCCCGCGCCCGCGGCCTCCAGCCTGGCCTCAGGGCAGGGTGGCAGCCCGCACCGCCTGGAATTTCCCGCGAGCCTCTCCCCTCCCCTTCTCGCGGCGGCCGCCCGGCGCAGTGTCATGTTTTCCTCCGAGTCCGAGGTCGCTCGGCAGCAGGTGAGTCCCGCCCGGGGGTGCTTGAAACTTTCTCGCCTCTTCTCCCCCCATTCTCCGACTGCACCCTAAAAACTTCCTCGGCCGGGCCGGGCCGCGCCATGCCTAGCCCCCTCCCCCCGGACTGAGCCCCTCCGAGAGGGGGCGCAGCATGGCCACAGCGTGGCCGGAGGAGCCAAGCGGGGGGAGACGCGGCAGGGCTGGAGGAGCCAGCTAAGGGGGGGGGGGCACGGAGCGGCCAGAGGAAGAGCCAAGGGGGCGTGGCCAGAGGAGGAGCCGGGGGGGGCGCCTTTTTTATGTTTGCTCCCCCTGCACTTAGAACCTGGCTACGCCACTGGCTCTGCATACACATGGATCCATGGCCCCTCCCATAGCCTGATCCCCCGACCACCTCTAACGTGACTTTCTGTACTGACTAGGGAGGAGACAAGGTCCAGAGCTTTCCTCCCAGCCAGCTCAACCCACTTCATTCATGCACGTGTAAGAGGGCTGTGTCCCTGCACACCGGGGGCAATGTCACCCAAGATGATTACACTCTTTTGGAAAGGGGGGTTATTTATGTTTTTCCACTCTGGGGGTATAGTCCCTGCATTTTGGGAGGAGATCCAAGCTTTGGGACAAAGCGTGAGCCAGTTTCATGGAGAATCCATCCCATAATCTGAATCTGAGAAGGGCCAGAAAGTGCACTCGGTGATACAGAAAGACATAGTTCCTGCCCTCTAACTTTAGACATCACACAGTGAGTGCAGGTAACAGGAATTAGGATTGAGGAGGGATATAGAGGATAAGGACATAAGGAAAATGACCGGAGTACACCGTATTCCCAGCCTGCTAACCAGCTGCTCATTAGCAGAATCTGCAAGTCCAGTGCAGTCTGGGGAATCATTTCTCTCCGTTTCACAATAAAGAGAGTGGTTCACCTTCTGTAGTATTGTCACAAGAAATAGTTCCATCTCCTCTGTCCTTGTTTCATTATCCATTTTGAGAACCTCGGCAGAGGTGCGAAACTAGTCAGAAAAAAATGAGAACAGTGAGCAGAAGAGGCAGCGTTCCTGTTCATGATATACACATTCATGGGAAAAGCCCTGATTGAAATGTCCAGCCTAGTGAGACACACATGTTCATCTCAGTGTCTATCCTTTCCACACAGGGTTTGCATCATCTAGGGCATGTGTACGTGAATATACCAAGGCCTCTGCTTCTAGATCCTCCGTCTAAGTCCAGCTGAACAATTAAACTACCATCTGACAGCTCTTTGGTGACCTATGTGAAATAAACTGTTGGTCTTAGTCCTGCTCTTGGTAGGAGGGTGCCTACAGCAGAGGAACTATGGGTAAAATCCTGGCCCCACTGAAGTCAATGGCATTGACTTCCCTTGTGATTCCGTTGACTCTGGTTGACTGACAGTGGACAGGCTAAGAACTGGAGGGGCTGTGATAGCTGAACTGCCCTCTCACCCAGAGAGGTGGTCCTTTCAGAGCAGAGGTGGGAAGTTGTGTGTGTACAGCAGGCTCACTCCGCCATTATGGGAATTCTGTGGATAAGGAAAAGGGTTTCGTTCTCCAGGGCTGCTGAGCCTGCACATTTCACCCAGCTTCCATTTTTGAAGCCTCACCCTCCATGATACCTTTTTCCCCTTAGGCCTCTTTCGAAATTTGATGTTTCCATGCTGTGCAGTGACAGGCAGCAAAAGCAAATCTTTGAAGTGTGGAGAACAAGAAATGAACTCCCCCATTTACTTTTATGGCAACCAATGCAGCTACCAGGGCAAATCTTTCCCTCCACATTCAACTTTTCTCCACTCCTGTTCCCCTTGAAAAGTCAAATGCAACTTCTCATTGGAGGGGGTCCTCTTACCATCACTGATTAGTATCCACCCATTCTCTTAACTGCTCTGCAAGTGCCCTAAGCCCCCATCTGAACCCCCAACTCCCCAAGCGCTGCCTTCGAAGTCTTTCCTGGGATGAGTAAGGGCTATTCCTTGCAAACCTCACAAGTCTGTGTGGAATTGCTTCCCTTCCTCCTGTGTAGCTGCAGATGGCCGACATTCTGTGAATATCCTTTAGAATGTATAGGAACAAAGTCCAGGGTGTGTGCACAGACTAGGATTCAGGCTCACCAAACAGGTCAGCCTCATGACCGCAAGAAGGCCAATCCCAGAATAAGAGTGAGGAAGTGGGACAGGTGAAGTGGATGGCATCAGATCGACAGCATCATGCCACTAATTCTTCCATGCAAATCTAGGAGCAAACATTTCTGCAGCCATACCCAGCACCCTGTATATCCCAGTTATAATGACTGTGTTGAATTTCATGAGAATTCACACCTTTGAGCCAGCGTGCAATTTCAGGGTAAGAATAAAAAATGCTGAGATGCCGAATTGGTGTGAAGCAAGGTAAATAACAGAACCCAATTCCACAGACAGGCTTTTCCCCCAGAGAGTGAGGGCTTTCTCCATTACCTGAACACGAAAGATGTTATTCAGGAGGCAATAGTAGGACTCTTCTATCACACCTCGGAGTTTGCCTTGGAGGATGCGCTCTCTTGCAACGTAAGATTTACAGGCATCAATCCCCAGAAACATGGCCATGAGTGTCCGGATGGCAAAAAAATTCTGCTGCACATTTACCTTCGTCAGCTCCATAGCAACAACCCTGCATGGTTAAAATGAAGAGAAATTATAAGGAAGTTCTAATGGGGAGTCAGGAAGAGTGAGCACATTCTGAGAAAGAATTACAGAAACACAAACCTACCACTTACCACATGGACATCTAGACACATAGAAAAAGCTTTCAAATGAAGGAGAAATAATGGAACCAGGGTTCTTCAGCACTTTCTGATCGACCTCCAAGACAACTACAAGACATTTCAGCACCTGATTTTCTTTATGGATAAATGGCTGAGGATCAGCAAAGGATTTGAGCAATGTCTCCTGGTCTCTGTTTCCTCCATGGCTGGTGCAAAGCAACCTAACCCCAGAGCTCAGCCTCTCCATTTTTTGCTTTTGTTTGTGGGACACAAAAGATTAACAGCCTTGAACTGATCTCCAACCACCTTTTCTAACCACACCCCTTTGGGTTACTGTCAGAGTCCAGACTGATCAGTCTGTTTATTGTCTTCTGGAGAACACACCCTTGTCAAAAGCACCTGGCTGCTTTCAGTTCAGTTCCATGCATTCCCCTGGACTCTAAAGTCATCCTGCATTGAAAGACATGCAACCAGACATACCCGTGAGCATCCATCCCATTAGAGCTGCTCTCATTGCCATATCGCATGCATCCAAAAATGCCTTTTCTTAGTGATGGGCCATCTCCCAGCCCTTCACTAATGACATTTTTAAAGTCTGTCCATTTCTCTTGGGGAAAAAAACCCAGCACACTTATGAGCTTTCATCCACAGTTCAAAAGTTGCATTAGCCCACGAAAAGCTGAACAAAACCTTTTGAATTTTGAAATATCAACATTTTTAATGTTGAAATTTGAAAGGTAAAAAGGACTTTTTTTTGTTAATATTGACAATTTTCATGGAAATCTTTCCCCAGCTTTCAACCAAGTATTGAGCTGATCAAAATATTTCAAAATTTGAATTTTCAAATTAAAGGGGGAAAAAATGAGGGGAGACTTAATAAAACAAATTTGCAGAATGCCCCCAATTTATTTTTTAGCAGCTCTCCCACATACACTGTCTTGCTAGACATGTTTCCTCTTTAGCATCTCAGTCGAATAGCACTGAAACATGAATCTGACTTGATCTGGGTCATGACAGCCACAACCAAGGAATCTCTCATAGGATGGATGGGAGAGCCATCTCTTTTTGATGCGTTTTCATGCCCTGCTAGTTTTGAGGTTCCCAGAAATCACACTTCCCATATGTTGCCAGAAAACAGATGGACGGCTATTCCTCCTGATTCATGGGAGGTGGATAGCTCAACAAATCAACTGGACAAAAAGCCACAGTTAATCAAAGAGCAGGTGAAGTTAATCCTTTGAATCATGAAAGGACCCATCCAACCATAAGTGAATCTTTCAGATTGCCTCATTTATTAAATGAAGAATTAGAGCAGTAGGCTGGCATTGATAGGTACGATTGGACCACTGGTTGTTTCATTGCCCCTGTGACTGTGCTGGCTATTCCTGTACGTGAAATAATAGTTGTACTAAAGGAGGAAGTTACTAAAAGCTCCTCTCCCCCATGCAGGGCTCATTTAAGCCATTAGAGGTCAGCTTTCACCCAATTAGACAGGCATTTGGCCATCTCAGTCTGTGCCAGCCTCACAAAGCCTCCATACCATTTGGCATTATTGCAATCTCTGTAGGAATGTTGCAGCTCAAGATCACGATGCAAGGGCAGAGGTGTGTGGGGCATAGGGGGTCAGGTGTATCAAAGTGAAGTTAAAGGCACTTACTTGTGGCCAGCCTCCTGGCCTAAGTAGGCAATTTCAGCAAGTAACTGGCTCTTTCCAAATCCCATAAGGCCTTCATACATTATGACGCGGCCTTCTGTAGACCCCACAAATCCTTTCAATAAAGTGTCATAGATTTCAAGCTCTTTTTCCCGACCTAAGAAACATGGAGTGACTTTAAGAAAGCAAAGACCAATGCACATCCCTTTCTCTCTTTGCTTACCAGTGGCAGCATGTCTCCACCCATATTGGAAATGCATACATAAGTCACTGGTTCATTTCCACCTCTGCTGCAATCCTTATCTATCCCTTTCTCCCCACTCATTTTGATAATTGCAGCTCCCCTCTCTAGCATATTCCCAAACCCGACTGTCCAGATTCCAGCACACTGCTGCTACCCTCCCCACCACACACACAAAGAAGTGTGACCACATTATTCCTATCGTCACACAACCACTTGTTCATTCCAATACCCGGTGTCACTCTTCAGATTTGTATCCAGTCTCCTTTACAGACCCTGAGCTACATTCACTGGAGCTGGCACAGGAAAGTATAATTTACATCTCTCCTTACCAGCCTGCCAACCAGGAGATTCATCAGCTCCTACAGGGCAACAGGATTAAAATTTAGAAATGAGGTAGGGCTCACCTGGTATTTATCTCATAGAGCTAGAAGGGACCTTGAAGGTCATCAAGTCTAGTCCCCTGCCTTCACTCGCAGGACAAAATACTGTCCCCAACAGGTGTTTTGGGGTTTTTTTTGGTTGTTTTTTCCCCAGATCCCTAAATGGCCCCCTCAAGGATTAAACTCACAACCCTGGGTTTAGCAAGCCAATGCTCAAACCACTGAGCTATCCCTCCCCCCATTGGAGGTATTGGGGTGCTGGAATCTGCATTTTGTTTCAACCCCATTTGTCAGTAAAGTGAAAAGATGCTAATCAAAGACACAAAGGGAGTGAATATGAGGGGTAAGAATGTGCATGTATTCCTTCGAGACAAGGTGGTGAGTATGAGGAATATCTTTATTGGATCAACTTTGGCTAGTGGAAGAGACAAGCTTTCAAGTCTCACAGAGCTACTCTTCAGGTCTGGGGAAGGTAACCAGAGCATCACAGCTACACACAGATGGTTAAGCATAAGGGGATCACACATGTTGCATGAGACCACTTAAAATGAAGTGGGCAGTTAACACCTCTGCTGGAAAGTTTGTTTCTTCCACCAACAGGAACTAGTCCAATAAAAGCTATTCTCTCACCCACCTTGTCTCTCTCCTATCCTGGGAGCAACACGGCTACAACAACACTGCAAACATGTATTCCATACTCTTGTCTGACCATGGATAGATCCTGCGGTCCATAGCACCATATAAGACCTGCAGGATCAGGCACCACAATGTCAGTGTAAAGGCCCTGTATCTTTAAGAGCATCCCGAGCACATCTCAGAGCTTTACATTTCTGAATGATCCCAATGGTCAGTCACTTAATATCCTCAAGTAGTGGGTCCCCCTCAGACATTTCCCCCCACATCCATCTCTTCCTTGGGCATCCTCTTCCCAGCAGCAACAACTGCTCCACAGGTTCCTAATGACAAACCAACTGGAGTTCCGAAGAGCTCTGTCCACCTACCCAGTAAGGGGTAATACTCAGACCTCTCCTTGGTGAGATACGCTGTGCCAATCCTTCTGCAAGGAGGAAGAGAAAGGAAAGCTGCAGTTAAAAAGTGAAAATACTCCTGGTCAGACTGAGTGGGGGCGCAGCTGGGCTGCCCACTCTCTCTGAATCCAAGCACTGCTTCCAAGAAGGGTTTCATTATTCTTAGCCTCCTGCACCCAGAAGCTCAAGTTGAGATGGGGTGAAGTTGTGTCATGGGGTTTCCCTTCAGAAGAGCGCTAAAGAAACATCAATAACTAAGGAGCCTAATGAGCCTGGTGTAATGGGAGGGTGTATTAATATCCATCGGTGAGAACTGGAGAGCTAAGAAGGAAATGAGGCACAGGAGCCTATGATTTCTCTGGTAAAGAACAATGCAATGCAATGCCTATTAGCCTGGCTTCCTGAAGCTGCTCAAGGATCTGAAGGTAACAAACAATTCTGTACCGCAAATGGGTGAGAGATGAGAGACAAGTAGGAATAGACAGATTCAATAAAGCTTGCAGAGGAAAAGATAAGGAAAGCAAAAAAAGCAGAATGAGTTAATACTAGGCAAAGGCTGTAAGGGGAATAAGAGTTTCTCTAAACATGTCATGGGAAAAAGAAAGTAAAGCCATGAATAAGTAAGAAGGTGAATGAAATCGATGATTACTCTGAGCTCCTGCGCTCCTTTTTAAAATCTCTCTTTAGCAAGCTATTCATTAACAATGGCCCGACTCCTGCAAATTGCTCCCCACATACGGACTCCCACTGACTTTAATGGGGCTCCCTCCACATAGAAGAACTTGTAGGAATGGAGCCTTGGATTTGGACAATGAGAGCAAGGCAGATATTGTATAAACAGCTGTTGATGAAAGGAGGTATCAGGATATATGAAAAAACAGAACACATGCAAACTTGGTCTCTGAACTCAATACTAGCTAGCTACACCACAATTGCTATGAATTTGGGGGGGGGGGGGTTGTACTGCACCTTTAAATTTCTGACAGCACAGCTGATGCAGCATGTTCCAAAGAAGGGACCCAAACTGTGCTCCCTCATGGAGACTTTACTTTTGTTCTTTCTTAGTTTGTTGTGCCCCTTAATCTGAACTGAAAGTCATTTGGACTGAGTCTAGAGGGCTGTCTAGGTGTATGGAGAAACATTGAATGCTTCTACATTTCCATGGTGCAGTTCCCAGTCTCCTAGTAGCTGGAGCTGATGTGGGAGTGGGAGAGAGATGCAAATGAGACACTATAGTTACCCATTCTCTCAAACATGAGGATTGATTAAAGATATGCCAGTTGAAGGTATTTTTACACTGAGCTATTTGCTGTCCAAGCAGCTGTTTGTCTCTGTGACGGGTTGGATCACAGAAACCCCCTTGGGAGCTGCCACCCGATGTGCAAAGACTACCCCTGCTTCTGTTTTCCCTGCCAGCTCAGGACTCCAGCACCCTGTCTTGCTGAGCCAGACACTCCCGTCTGGCTCCAGACACAGACCCAGGGTCTGAATCACTTGGCCCAAAGCTGCAAGTTTACCTGAAAACAGCTCACAGAAGTGTGCTTGTCTTCAGCACTCAGATGCCCAACTCCCAATGGGGTCTAAACCCAGATAAATCCATTTTACCCTGCATAAAGCTTATGCAGGGCAAACTCATAAATTGTTCGTCCTCTATAACACTGATAGAGAGATATGCACAGTTGTTTGCTCCCCCAGGTATTAATACATACTCTGAGTAAATTACTAAGTAAAAAGTGATTTTATTAAATACAGACAGTAGGATTTAAGTGGTTCCAAGTAGTAACAGACAGAACAAAGTAAGTCACCAAGTAAAATAAAATAAAATGCGCAAATCTATGTCTAATCAAACTAAATACAGATAAGTTCCTCACCAGTTCCAGAATGCTCCCTTTTACAAGCTAATCTCCTTTTAGCCTGGGTCCAGCAATCACTCACAACCCCTGTAGTTACTGTCCTTTGTTTCAGTTTCCTTCAAGTATCCTGCGGGGGGTGGAGAGGCTCCTTCTTTAGCCAGCTGAAGACAAGCACACTTCTGTGAGCTGTTTTCAGGTAAACTTGCAGCTTTGGGACAAGTGATTCAGACCCTGGGTCTGTGTCTGGAGCCAGACGGGAGTGTCTGGCTCAGCAAGACAGGGTGCTGGAGTCCTGAGCTGGCAGGGAAAACAGAAGCAGGGGTAGTCTTTGCACATCGGGTGGCAGCTCCCAAGGGGGTTTCTGTGATCCAACCCATCACAGTCTCCTTGACTAAGTTGCCTTGAGTTGATCTTGTGTGGGGAAGTACAGGACTTTGGAGATGAAATTCCCTAGGCCAGCTGTGAGATAATGCTCTGGATTCAGGCAAGGATGATGCACATTGTGGCTTTGAACAGACAGGACAGCACACACCCCCTTTGTGCTAATCAAAGGAAATTTGCCCTTCCCCCCCCCCCCCCCCACCGTTGTAAAATGGAGGTGTGACTCTTGGAGTCCCTCAGTGCCAACTAGCAGTGGGCCCCCCTACTGTAACTCACATCAGGTCTGACACACTCATTGTCCCAAGTATCAGAGGGGTAGCCGTGTTAGTCTGAATCTGTAAAAAGCAACAGAGGGTCCTGTGGCACCTTTAAGACTAACAGAAAGTCTTAGTTAGTCTTAAAGGTGCCACAGGATCCTCTGTTGCTCATTGTCCCAACACACTGTTGTCATGATATATATCTCAAAGGTGTCATGAAAGATATCGTATGTAAACTGGTGCCATGCTGGTCCCAAAAATCATTGTGTGATGTATGTACAGGTTGGGTACAAAGAGTTATAGATGTGTGCTGGAAATATATTCATGAAAAGTGTTTGAGAAGTAGAGCATAAAATCCAGCCTGCCCTAGGCAAAGGCATGTGTATTTACCTGTCTGACCAGCTGGGCTACCAGCAGAGGACAATGGAAGTATATTTACATATAAGGAAAACAAAGACATCAAGCTAAACAAACGGGGGAGAAGACTCTGGACTTTGAGTAATATAAGGGGAACAAAAAGACCTTTTAGTTCTCTATCACTGCGGGGAGAGTAGAGTACAGCACCTTTTGAGCCTATGAAAGCTGGATTCTCTTGGCCTGAAAGGCAAGAGCTGCTGGAAACATGATGTAAGTGAGAAACTGCTTAGGCAAAGATTGCAACTTGCTAAGATTCAATTTTCGTCATTAGAAAGTGTGTTTTGTTTTGTTTGTGGCCTTGCCTGTCTCTTTTCCCCTTGCTTAGTATCACTTAAACCCAAGGGCTTTGTGAATAACCTTTGTCTTATTTTATTACAAAACCATCTCAGTGCTGTGTATTAAAGTGAAGTGTGAGGCTTAAGCTAACCTAACAGGCTGGTGTGTGCTCTGTTTCTTTGGAGGCAGTGAGCGTAAAGTGAGAGGGACTGGATGCTGCAGGGAGATGTTTCTGGGGAACTTGGCAGCTGGGACTCACTGATTGTTACCGGCAAGACAACATTTAGACTGGCAGAGTCTTGAGGAGTTTGCTGGCAAGGCAGACAGACTGGTGTGTCAGGGACCTGCCACACAGCTTAGCAGCACCAAAGCTCTTGCTCTTGCTAAGGCAGAGTGGTAACAGTGGCTCACAGTTCTGAGTGTTCTGAGCATGACGTCACAGGGGACACTTACGTTATCTCAATGATACCAAGATAATGATAGACCACGCCGGGATTCACAACTCCTTTCATCTCAGTCTGGGGGAGCTCTTCAAAGAAGTAATGAGGCAGCCTGGAGTTGGCGTAGGTCACTGCATCACAGGACACTAACCCCGGATAATACATCATCATCCGGGCAGCGAGATTCACCTTCTGGCCAATGACTGTGTGGTGGAAAGAGCAAGAAAATGGGCACTGAAAAGTTAACTGAGCTCCCGCCCATCCTCCTGTGGACAGCTCCATATGTATCCATGCATACATACCCCTCCACCAGCAAAAATACGCAGCCTACACACACACTCTGTGGGTACCCAGGGATACCAAACATGCACAGGACCAGAGGAACAGACGGTACCTGTGTATTCGTGCCTTACACGATGGCCAACTACTCCACAGAACACTGGCCCGCTGGTAACCCCGATGGAAACTAGCCTAGCAAGCAATGAGAGCAACATGGAGTCAGCAATCCCAAATGTCCAGTCCCTCTTGCCACATCTGCTCATGCACCCTCTCCCCACCCCCACTCCTGTAGTGCTAATTTGTATTGACTATCCCCACATCAGCCAGCTAGGTCTCCCAACAGCCTGTGTGCAGCTCTGTGTGTGTGCGAAAGGGATGGAGAAGAGGGCAAGGAGCTTCCCTCACACACGTCCCCATGTAATGACAGTTCTTGTGCTTCCCGGAGAAGCACTGTTGGAGTCCTGCTGGCTGACAGGCCTTGGGGTCCCCTTCAGCAGGGAGCTCCTCCACCGACTGCAGTCAAGAAGGACTTGATGGGTCCTTCAGAGGCCAGTGGAGTGGGGGGTGACAGTCAATAGGGGTTTGGCTCATGCTCTTTGTCCTGTTACCAATGCTCTCAAGGGGAAAAATGCCTTTAGAGATCAAAGAATTTGCCATTCTCACACAAATGGAGCTGAGAATCCTGCACAGCTGGCGTCGTTAGTCTTTTGCTCTCTCTTTTCTGCAGGGACTGGACTTGTGGATTGGAGTTTCTTGGGCTGTTGTGGGATAGGTCAGTGAAGGTGGTTGGCTTTGCATTTTGCTCTGAATGGTGCTGAGGTTCACGGTCATCCTGAGCAGGTTCCAGATTCATGGCCAGTCACCACAAAAGCTCCATCAGCTGGACCCACCAGTATCACCTCTGAGGCTGAGGTTCTATTGCTCCAGTGGCACATAGCTGTCTTAGGAGGTCTGGGTCATGTAGAGTGAGGGGGAGCCCAGGTAAACTGGGCTAATCTCAAAATTTGTCTCCCAGCTGTCATGTCACTGCCTCCTGCCCACTAGGGGGGCCCTCCTGTTGGGACGAGGGAGTTTCGATGACAAACAAGCCCAATAGCACCCCTGTAGGCAACATGGAGAACTGCACCTTCCTGCTTACTTTATTTTCATGAGCGTCTCAGAACAGAAGTTGAAGATTTTAAATGCGCTGTCCAAGGCGTGGGTGCTCTCGTCAGCCTGCTTATCCCCAGGGAGCCCGAACACACACAGGAATGTGCAGCCCTGCCAGGGAGGGGAAAGAAAACACCAGAGGGGTGAGGGTTTTTTCCAAAGAGCAAATCAGTATCACTGTCTGTGGCAAACAGTTCCACTGTGCTCCAGCTCTCCCACCCACCCTGTTAGAGTAGTGCTGTCATACAGTACCCCCAAAATGCTCTGGGAGACCCCACCACCGCCTCAGACTCAGTCTCTTCAGCACCAAGCTTTTTATCATTCCTCCTGATCCCTGCCCTCCTCCTCCCTTCTCTATCCCTAATGACAATGCCACTGTCCCTCCTGCCTCCTACTAGTCCCTGAGTCTCAGGGGAATGTTTGCCAGCTCCGGCTGCCCAACTGGAATGGCCTTGAAGCTCTGACCCACTTTGTCAAACATAAAGACTTTGTTGATTTTGCCACTGAAGACGTGGATGATGTTTGAGATCTTCACATTGGCATCGTGGATGGCCTTGCACAGATGCAAGGTATTGGCGCTTTCGTCAAACTGCAGGTTCACAAAGACAATTGTGACCGGCCGAAGCTCAGATAAATATTCTAGAGGTTGGTTGTCGTCAATCTGAAAGAGAAGAGCCAGATGTACTCAACAGTCCGTACTCCTGGTGAGCGGGAAGCATTCACTACTCCATATACCCCTCCTCCAGCTGGGCTGACTCTGCTCTCAGATACAGGTGCTAACTCCACGAGGGCAAAGATGTTTGATCAGCTATTGCCATAGGAAGGAGTGGGCCCCCATCAATGGGAAGCACTCTCCAGTCTCAGGATGATGATCCTTTCAGCACAGGACTGGGAAATGAGGCTAGGCACCAAGGGGATAAAGGGGGAGATAGCTGAGCAGAGCCTGTCAATGTGACTTTGCTACAACCCAGGTCTCCCCATAAACTTTAAAATTTTAAACAGAACAAAGGAAAAACTTTTTCATACACCTTACAATTAGCCTGTGGAACACATTGCCTGCAGTCAAGAACTCGGCAGATTTCAAAAAATTATGACAACATCCAGTGTTATAATAGTAAGGATTTTTTTAAATAAAAGCCAATAGTTTTGGAAGGGATCTAAACCCTCATGCCTCAGGTCATAAGCCAAGGGAGGGGGAAGGAAAAAACTTTCCATGTGGACAAGTTGATCCACAACTACCCACTGCAGGGTTTCTTGTATTTTCCTCTGTAGCATCAGGAGAACCTCAGAAAAATTCTAGCTGTGTAAAGCACAGACCGTCAAGCCAAAAAATAAAATTCTGTGAAGTTACTGCAGTACCTTCTTCAGAATGTTTCTCATCACATACTTCCGGAGGGACTTCTCCAGCTCATCATTAGGAGACAATGTGGAGGTTGCTCTGAGGATACCTAGAGGAGGAAATTCAATGCTTTCAATAGCGAAGGAAGACTTGTGGTTAAACCGTAGGGTTTTATTCCTGGCTTTGCTCAAGGGCAGACTTTTACCAGTGGGGACTGGACAGTGCCTGGATGGGGTTGGAGATTCTTGTCTAACCTATTTCACTTAAAATCTTGAAAATGCAAATCACAGTTCCATAGGCACTGAGTTTCTAATCTGCCGGGGGGGGGTTCCCCCTGGCTCCCTGCAGGCCCCGCTCCCACTCCACCCTTTCCCCCAAGGCCCCAGCTCTGCCCTGCTTCTTCCCACCCCCGCTCCGCCCCACCCCGTCTCTTCCCTGCCCCTTCCCACACCTTCTCTGCCCAGTTCCAACCCTCCCCCAAGCACACTGCACCCTTTCTCCTCCTCCCTCTCCCCCAGTGCCTCCTGACACAGCAAAACAGCTGATCCGTGGTAGGCGCTGGGAGGGAGGGGGAGGCGCTGATCGGTGGGGCCCACCGGCGGGCAGAAGGGACTTGGGGGAGGGGGAGGTTCTGGTAGGGGGGCTGCCGGTGGGTGCTCAGCACCCACCATTTTTTTCCCGTGGGTGCTCCAGCCCCAGAGCACCCACGGAGTCAGTGCCTATGCACAGTTGGGATTTTCTATTAGAAAATTCCTTGTGTGCTTATATCAGCACCACTGAAAGCTTGCTTACCCAGAAAGACTGTAGGCACTGAGCAGGGTTCCCTATAGTGTCTCTTCTTGCCAGCCAGGGGTCTCCATAGAGCTGACACAGAAAGTAGGGAGAGGGTCTCTTCTCCTCCACAGTCAGCGTAGCCCTTGCTGGTGTCCAGACAGGTTGAAGCCAGCAGGGGGGAGAGGGAGTTGAAATGCAGCTGGCTGCCTCGGGATTTTGGTGGCAGGGAATGGAGGAGGACACAGGAACTCAAAGGGGTACAGGGCAGGGGCCCCCATGTGCAGTCCATTCACCCTCTCACATTTACACTAACAGAAAACAAAGGAATCTCAGCCTGCCATCTCCCTGGGGTCAACACAGTAGAAGGAAGAGGCACTCACTGTCACTTTCACCCGTGGGGTAGTGCTGTAGGTATTCAGTACATTTCCAGAAGAACTCGTCGAACTCAGTCTCAGAAATGGTCTTTATGTATTTAGCCTAAAGGCACACAGAATTAAAGGCGTCTGTCAGCTTCCACAAGCCTAGTGCAGAATTATTCAATAAAATGCACTCTCATCCTTCACTGTCACCTCCATCATCAACCTCCCTGTCAACTGGATGGAGGACACAGCAGTAATCAGAAAAGATTTTTTGGCTGGAGCAAAACAAGTGATGATGCTCCCAACAAATAGATTCTGCAGCCTCCAAAGCTGGGGTGCAAAGCCTTCCAATTCCACAATCTTTCTCCTGCTGGGTATCTGTCCAAGCCCCCAATCCTGCAAATTTTTTTCCCCCCATCTTCTAGAACTGGAAGGGACCTTGAAAGGTCATTGAGTCCAGCCCCCTGCCTTCACTAGCAGGAGCAAGTACTGATTTTGTCCCAGATCCCTAAGTGGCCCCCTCAAGGATTGATCTCACAACCCTGGGTTTAGCAGGCCAATGCTCAAACCACTGAGCTATCCCTCCCCCTTACATACGTGCTTAACTTTAAGCACCTGATTGGCCCCACTGATTTCAATGAGCTTACTCAGATGCAGGTGCAGAACTGAAGCCCAGCTTCTTCTCATGACACCTGTCACTGAACTATCTCAGTGCCTCCAGAAAGATACTAACTAAAATCACAATAGGCCCACGGTTTGATTCTCCTCCCCATTCTCACAGCTGCTCTCCAAGAACCGGTGCAAGGTGTAAGAGGGGGGTGCTCAAAATAACTGGTGGGCTGCAGGTAGCAATGCTCTCACTTCCACTCCCTGGCAGGTTGGTCGTATTTTCAGAGTTCAAAGCGGGGACACCGGGATTGGCGAGGGGGATGGATCAGGGAATTGGGTGTTATCCTGTCAGGATGAGTACTTGGGGCCTTTTACAGGAAAAGGCAGGGCAAGTGAGAACAGTATTTACCCTTCTGTGACTCCTTTCTTGTTCTCTCCTAGCCCTAATATCTCCCATTCCAATCTATCTGTACCCTACCACACCCCGACCACCCCCTCCACAGTCACTGATTCACCCACACCCTCAGTCACCAACCGACTCCATCAACCTTCCCACCCAACTCTTCCCTCAGCTCCCCACCTGCTGAGAAACACGCCCCACAAACATACCCTTTCCCCCAGGCTGAGATCCTCCCTCTTCCTAACAGACCTCCACAGCTCAGGCCCACACCCTCAGCTCTGAGCCCTGGCCACCAGACAGCCCCAGGCTCAAAATGCCCCCACACATCCCTCCAGCTCTAGCAAATCCATCCCCAGGCTCCAAAATCTTCCCCCTCCTACCTGACACCCATCACCACCAATCTCAGATGCCCCACAGGTCGGAACCCTGCCCCCTGCTCAGAAAGCTCTGGTATTCGCTGCTCTGCACCTCCTCCCTCTGCCACTTGCATCCCTTCTCTTGCAGAGACTCTTGCAGGGGCTGGAGGCTGCAGGGAGCATGGGTAAAGAGCCCAATACTCTGGCTCTGTGGCTCTGTCCCCTACACTACAACAGCTACACTACCCAGTTCTGAGATCACTGGTGGGGCTTACCCCCCTTATTCCCTAACGACCAGCCACTCCTGGCAAGAGGAAGCCAAAGTTAAGTCCACATTCTACTATGCCTTCTTACTTCATCACCACTTTCAACTTTCGCATCACCATCCCTCTCGGCCCCCTCTGCCCAGCTGGTCCATTGGATACAGGCCCAATAACAGATATACACACAAGCATACGTGTGAGGTTGCATCCAGAAGAAGACAATGGGGCACGTAAACACACCCCAACCTAGATAACAAGGCAATACACACGCCACTGGTTATGAACAATTGTTGCACACTCCACATTGCCCACCTTCATAGCTCTTTGATCTTTAATTCTTTCTATTTCTATCATGTTCCTGTTACAGAGTTCCCAGCAGTTCGGCGATAGAATAACCTCGCTTGCTTTTGCTAGGTTTTGGGCCAACCGAACTTCATCCACTGCTCGGCCAATTACCAGAAAATATTGGTGCTTATTGTCTCCAACAACAACTTTGGAGATGTGACCTGCAGATAGCCCTGACAAGAGAAACAAGATTGTTATGGAGGGCATTTTTACTTTACCATTTGTAATATATGTATCTCAATTATCTTAGAAGCGGATTTTGGAGGCCAACCTATTTTTTGGGGGGTGGGAGGTTTGGATCAGTTCTTGACAATATGTGATATTTATTCCAGGAATCTGAGGATTTCTAGAACAACACTCTCCAATGAATTAAACAGCATGTCAGTTAATCAATAATAATAATGCACACATAATTATAAGGGTCACATGGTAGCATCTGTTATAAGTTTACAAATCGGTTTCCATTATAACAATCTGTTTATATCTGAAGAAGAAAGCAGTGTGTTGTAATCTTGGACTCCCATTCAGACAATATCTGGATCTATGAGATTTATAACAAGCTGTGTTACTCTCTGTGACGTTGCAGTCTATATGGTTTTATAAAAATATGTTAATGAGTGAATATAATGTAATTGGAATATGCTTCATGCAAAAGGTCTCTTGTAAGATATCATTACAAAGCTTATAATCTACTGAGTGTGATCATCCTATTTGTATAAATGTACCACTCTTGTATCTGAAACTAGAAATATGAAATATAACTCTGAGGGCCTATTGTAATTATGCAAAGTGTGGGCCATTAATGGTGGTTTGGAATCTTGATGACTCCCATTAACCAGGACAATTGTCTGCAGATGGCTGTGTTTTACCTGTAAGTCTTCCTGTATACGTGTGTGCTGGCAAGTGGGCAATGAAGTCTTGCAGTGACATGTGATCATGTCACCTGAACTGGAATCCATCTTTAACCTGGTGTCTTTCCATTGAGAAGGAGGGGGTGGGAACCCAGAGAGGGACAAAGGATTCCCGCCTTATGCAAAAGATATATAAAGGGGTGGAACAGAACAAAGTGGAGGAGCCATCATGAAGAATCCCCTAGCTACCACCTGAGCTGAAACAAGAGCTGTACCAGGGGAAAGAATTGTGCCCAGGCCTGGAAAGTGTCCAGTCTGAGGAAAAAACTTACTGAAGCATCTCTAAGGGTGAGATTCTCTGTATTCAGTTTGATTAGACATAGATTTGCACATTTTATTTTATTTTGCTTGGTGACTTACTTTGTTCTGTCTGTTACTACTTGGAGCCACTTAAATCCTACTTTTTGTATTTAATAAAATCACTTTTTACTTATGAATTAACTCAGAGTATGTATTAATACCTGGGGGAGCAAACGACTGTGCATATCTCTCTATCAGTGTTATAGAGGGTGAACAATGTATGAGTTTACCCTGCTTAAGCTTTATACAGGGTAAAATGGATTTATTTGGGTTTAGACCCCATTGGGAGTTGGGCATCTGAGTGTTAAAGACAGGAACACTTCTGTTAGCTGCCTTCAGGTAAACCTGCAGCTTTGGGGCAAGTAATTCAGATCCTGGGTCTTTGTTGGAGCAGACAGGAGTGTCTGGCTCAGCAAGACAGGGTGCTGGGATCCCAAGTTGGCAGGGAAAGCAGGGGTAGAGGTAGTCTTGGCACATCGGGTGGCAGCTCCCAAGGGGGTTTCTGTGATCCAACCCATCACACTCTCGAATTGGGCTTGTCAGCCATAGGTGGATTCATCAGGCACTGACTAGACTTCTTATGCGTACACCATGATCCAGTGGATCAACAATTGCCTATTATTATACCTGATCATAAGTTTCCACAAAGTTCACCTCTTTGCCAATGAGTAATTTATTTCAGATATGGAGCATAATGTTTACACTCTTCTCATTTAAAATAATTGTTCCCATGCTTTTTTCTTCACAGACAGATAACTCAAAAAAAACTGGAGCTTGGTACTTGGCATGTAGCAAGTGCCCACTGAGGTATACATTCATGAACAAGTTTGAGAAACATTGGCTGGATAGCAATAAAGTGATATGCAATTCAATAATCCCTTCTGAACCTGCTCAGTGCAGCACCTACTAAGACTTTGAGTTGAACTCAGTAAAAAGCACTCTCTCATTTGGGACATCACTGTACATTCTGTCTGTGTGGTCTAACCAGGGGGCCAGCAAGCAGAAGGATTTTGCTCTCAGTCTGCTGCTGCTGGGAGTTTGCGTGAAGGGAGCTTGTAAATGTCTGCTTGAAAACACACACAGAAAAAACATCCAGATGTAATCTAAAACTCCCCAGCTTAATATAAGGAAATGGCAAAAGAGCAAGTTCCTGAAGATCCCAAACTTAGGTGGCTTTACATTCCTTTGCCAAACAGAAAGGAACAGAGGTACTGTGAAGGCACTTCCCACAACCCTAATGGTTAGCAACTTCCTGTTGCTTTCCATGGATGTGAAATACTCAGAGGTAGAGCTGGTAAATAAAGGGGGGACTCTTTCCACTGACAATTTCAATTCAAACAAAAAAGAAATAATTTTCATCTAAATTTTCCATTAAAAATTTTGATTTTCAGCAGAAATTCAAATGCTGAAATACTTTGGCTGAAAACAAAACAAAAAAATTGATTTGGAAATACTGCCACTTTATTTATGGGAGTTGTAGTTCTGATGCCTCAAGCTCCCATTATTCTCTATAGGTTGGGCTCTCTAGTTTGACTACTAGTATCAGAGGGGTAGCCGTGTTAGTCTGGATCTGTAAAAAGCAACAGAGAGTCCTGTGGCACCTTTAAGACTAACAGATGTGTTGGAGCATAAGCTTTCGTGGGTGAATACCCACTTCGTCAGACGCAAGATCTGACGAAGTGGGTATTCACCCACAAAAGCTTATGGTTCAATACATCTGTTAGTCTTAAAGGTGCCACAGGACTCTCTGTTAGTTTGACTTCATCCCCCATGATGCTTCTTAATGTCCTCTCTTAGTGAGGGGAAGTGGTTAATAATCGGAGGAGTCTTTGTTCATTGTGTACAATGGGAGATGTAGTCCAGCTAGAGAGGACATTAGATGACCAAAATACAATTCCCATGAGGCACTGTGGCAGGATTTCTAAATCAAAATATTTCAGTTTTCAGCTGTTTGGGGTTTTTTGATGGAAAATTGAAATTTTCCATGGAAAACAGACACTCTTCATAACAAAAATTGCTTAGTAGAAAACCCAATTTTCCATTGAAAAACAGTTTTGATGGAATTTTGTCCACGAGTCCTAGTCAGAAGCTATTCAGAGACAGTCCTAGCTCTGTAAAAATAAACTAGGTACAGTCAGCACCGATGAAAGGTGCCAGACTGGCACCAATAAATTGTAGTTGTTTATTCACATAATAGATACAGAATGGCCAGCTCTAGGACCAACTGCCCCAAACTGCCTCCCTAAGGTACTTCAGTCGTTTGATCCCCAAGGCCCATTCAGTCCTTGGCTTCTCCGATGAGACTGTTGTTTCTGAATGTAAGGATGGTTTACGTGTCACAGATATATGTCTGCTATGAACTAAAACGAGACCTGCAATGCATTTCACATGAGCCACCAAGCAATCAGATAGGAACGAGTCTTGGTCACCACTTCCACAGGCTCAATTTGAACCAGCAACTTAGAGGTGAAATGCTCTTTATTCCAGTCCTCAAAAGACTCTCCTCTCTGACCAAAACAACAAGGAGTCTGGTGGCACCTTAAAGACTAACAGATTTATTTGGGCATAAGCTTTCGTGAGTAAAAACCTCACTTCTTCGGATGCATAGAGTGAAAGTTACAGATGCAGGCATTATATACTGACACAGGGAGAGCAGGGAGTTACTTCGCAAGTGGAGAACCAGTGTTGACAGGGCCAATTCAATCAGGGTGGATGTAGTCCACTCCCAATAATAGATGAGGAGGTGTCAATTCCAGGAGAGGAAAAGCTGCTTCTGTAATGAGCCAGCCACTCCATTTTCCCTACCACAGAAGCGGCTTTTCCCATGCAGCTGCCGAAAAGGATGCAACTGATCAGATCACTGAGCAATTAACATCTTTTACAGACTCCTGGCACACTAGAAATTGAATGAGATTTGGGCAGGGTGTTTCTTAGCAGCATATCTTGGGAGCAAGGAGAGTGGGGGCTCATGTGACTGTCCACTCAGGAAGCAGAATTGCCTACTGGTTAGGGCAAGGAACTGGCAGTGAGGAGTCCTGAATGCTCATCCCATCTCCACCACCAACTCATTGTGTGACCTGGGGCAAGATATTTCATCTCCATTTGCCTCTGTTTCCCCCCCTGCACAATGGGGCGAATGCTTCCTATTCACTTTTGCAAAGTGCTTTGGGAATGTGCTCTCTAGTGACTGCAAAGTATTGTTATTCCACTAGTAGCCACAATACCTATCTTCACTCGGAGCGTCAGACCCACTTCAGTTTCACGAACCCCATACTCTTCCTGGATCCTCAGGCTACATTTCAGCGCCAGTGTAATGATATCGCTCAGCTGGCTTCGTTGCACTTTCCACAGTGCTAGCAGTGCATCCCCTGGGGAAGACAGTGTGACAGAGACTTATGGGATACATGCTCTTCTTGTTTCTAAAGTGCTGACAAAGCCACTTGGCTTTTCAGCAAGCCACAGCAGATCTACCTGTACCTGCCCAGCACTCTGACCCACAGAGAGATTGCTCACTAACCACCCCAAACTCCTTAGCAGCTCCTGGCTGTGAACAGACCAACCCCTGTATGCTTCTAGCAGCTGTCGGTTGTGACTCCCTCTTCCCATTCAGTAATGCCCTGCAGCTGCTTTTTACAAGTAAACCTTCCTTCCCGGTGATCCCTTATAGCCACTGACTGCAAGTGTCCCTTCCCCATCAGTGACCCCTTGCAGTGGCTTGCTGCATGTTCCCCTCCCCTCTCCCACACACACAAACCTGTGTCCGCTGGCTCAGGTACATCTAAGGCATTGCACCTCCTATCGCCCTTGGGCAACTGCTAGCACAGTCATTCAGGCCAAGATCCCCAAAGGTATTTAGTATCAGGGGGGTAGTCTGTTAGTTTGTATCCACATGTAAGCAGAGTCAGGATGAGCTCTACCCTGACATCTGGTGGTGAATTATGGCGAGTGTGGAAAAGAACTCCAGGGGCTAATCTTGTTTGCATAGGCACACCCCCTCGCCAGGCATGAAACAACAGCAACTGAAAGTGGTTACTTTGGCTGGTGTGGGATCCCCAGTTTCTCTGTTATTGGGGCAGGAAGAATAAAGTTTTGTTACCCTGATTCTGTGAATCAAGGCCAGTGGAACTGTTGTATGACAGAAGGACTGAGTGAGTCCTTCACCATTACCTAAGTAGCAATTGCTTGACAAGGGGCATGGGTTACAAAACCCAGTGAATTGAGAGAAGATGGGGAGAGGTATTTGTACCTGATGGTATGGGCCCCCTCTGAGGGTTTGAAACACCAATTGCACCACCTCCTCTCTCCACTGTTGAATGTCAGAGCTAACTTTGATTCCATTAGGAGTCTAGTTACAGGCTGCTGAGCTGAATTCACTTTAGGCTAATGGTGCACCAGTACTGAGGCTCCCCTACTATACTATGAGCTGAAATTGTGAAGAGCTGCAATCACAAAAGAGCTAAAGTTATTAAGAGCTGAGATCACTGAGTGCTGTGTTAACTAGTGGGGGAACCTGAAGCTATATTGCTCAGCAGCTGGCGGAGCAATTTGTGGGGATGACTGGAGGAGCAGCGAGTGGCGCGGAGCCTTGTGGGGCCGGTTGGAGTGGCCCAAGGAACGGCGAGCGGAGCTGTTTGCGGGGACGGCTAGAACGGCTCACAGGTCGGTGAGCGGAGCGGAGCAGCTTGTAGAGCGGAGCAGTTCGTGGGATGGCAGGAAAGTGGACTGGCTCGTGGTGAAGGCTGCGGCGGAACCCCCACGGAGAAACAGATGGCTGGCCAGCCGCGGATCACGTAAGGTGCCCCTTAACACCCTGCGTGCCCCCCCCCTTTTACTCTGGGGCTGCACTGACCAAGGACAGAGACTTTGGGGGTTGTTGGACTTTTGGGACTTTGGGTGGTTGCTGGACCCAAGAGACTTTGGGGGTGTTGGACTTTGGGGACTCTGGGTGATTTTTGGGTTGCTGGATTCAAGAACCAAAGGGAAAGGACACAGCCCAATTTGCTGGGGTGGGTTTTGCTCATGGTTTGTGTTATGAATCCTGTTTGTGGTGTTTTTCCAATTTTATGCTGATGTCGTTTACCTCATGTTATTAAACATTTTCTGCTACACTCAGACTCCGTGCTTGCGAGAGGGGAAGTATTGCCTCTTAGAGGTACCCAGGGGGGTGGTATGTAATTGTCCCAGGTCACTGGGTGGGGGCTCGAGCCGGTTTTGCATTGCGTTATTGAAACGGAACCCCTAGATACAGAACCCGGCCCTTGTTGCTGCCAACTTAGATGGGCAGAAGGGTTACACACAAAAACAACGAGGAGTCCGGTGGCACCTTAAAGACTAACAGATTTATTTGGGCATAAGATTTCGTGGGTAAAAAACGCACATCTTTAGATGCATGGAGTGAAGAAGTGTATCCATGCATCTGAAGAAGTGGGGGGGTTTACCCATGAAAGCTTATGCACAAATAAAGGTATTTAGGTGCCTAACTTCTGTCTGAGCTCAGTTCTAAAGGAAGCACCAGCCAGGATTTCTCAATCAGACACAGAGGAAGGGGAATCGGGGTTGTTTCTAACTGAAAGATATAGTGTAAATTCTTGCTTCTTCCAAATCATAGATCAGCCCTGTGGGAATAGGAGCCAGAGAGACGGATACAATAGAACAAGAAAAGGGAGTTGGCTAGTTTGAATGCCGCCACTGTCCAGAGCCTCACAAGTCAAATGACAACGGGAGAGTAGGCCACTCTACCCCACCCCAGTGCTTCCTCCTTAGATATCACAAGCTAATAAATACCTGCAAAGTTCAAGATATCGCCTCCATAAATCAGCACCTCTGCAGCAAGAGAAAAGACGAGAGAAGTTACACACAGCTCTTGTCAAAGAAAATCATGGAACAAATTGTTCTGTCGATCGGGGGATGGGCACGTGTGTGTATGTGTGTGTGTGTGTGTGTTTGTGCATGCACACATTGAGGGGGCATATTTTGCAGAGTAGGTATGACTGAGTGAGCAAGATGGTGTATGTTTGAGCATGTCATCACAACAAAGCTCCCAACTGCTGAGGGCTCAGAGCAAAAATCAGGGAGTTAAACTCCATCTCAAAAGCCACCATAAGGAGGCAGAGCACAGTGTTTCTATGGCAACTAGAAATATCCCTTCCCAGACTGACCTCTTCTCCCAACCCTTTAAAACCCCTACTGCTCAGTTCTCAAAATGTCACATCCAACAGGGAGGGCCCCAGGGACAACCTGAGAAGCACTGCTCCATGGGAAGTTTTGAAGCAAGTTCTCAAAAGCAATGTGACAGCAGGAGATAAGGAAGGATGATCCAGTGGTTAGGGAGCTAAGCCAGAGACTCTGGAGACCTGGATTTGGTTCCCTGCTCCATCACAGACTACAGGTGTGACGTTGGGCAAATCACCTGGCCTCTCCATGCCTGGGTTCCTTATCCGTAACATGAATAATAGCACTCCCCTACCTCACTTCCTCACAGGGGTGTTGGAGGCCATATAAAAGCCTAAGATAGACAAGGAAGGGCCACATTGTGCTCTGAGGGTGTTGGGATGCTTTCTAGATCCTGAGAGGGAATTGGTAACTTTTGTCAGAGCTCAGATCCCCAAATCATTAGTGTGCTGATGTCACAGGGTTACCCTACTCCTTGGCCACATAAACAACAAGACGTTGCTCTTCCAGTGAAATGGGGTGGAGACGAGTGTTCCCTCTAATTTTTCCCACCCATGTGCGGAATAAATTTTGTTATGTGCACCAATATGGAGGTGATGTGTGACACATAAAAAAATTCATGTGGTGAGGGTAGGGCCGGGGCTGAGAGGTTAGGAGTGTGGTCAGGGCTGGGGCAGAGGGCTGGGGAGCAGGGGGTGAGGGCGCCAGCTGGGGGTGCGGGCTCTGGGGTGGTGCCAGGGATGAGGGGCTCAGGGCTGGGGCAGAGGGCTGGGGAGCAGGGGGTTAGGGCTCCAGCTGGGAGTGCGGGCTCTGGGGTGGATCCGGGATGAAGGGTTTGGGGTGTGGGAGGGGGCTACGAGGCTACGGCGGGGAGAGAGGACTCCCCTCAGCTCTTTCTCCCCGCATCAGCACCTGGGCTGCGGGGGAGAGGCGCCTCTCCTCGCCGCAGCAGCTTTGGGGATGGGGCCGCAGGATAAGCGCCCATCCCCCGGCTGTGGCGGATTCCCTGAGCACCTGCATGGCACTGAGAAGGCTGCCATGTGGCCGTGCAGCTTACAGGGAACTTAGGTGGAGGCATACACCAGGGTAGAGCCAAAGGAACAATGGACTCTTCAAAGCAGGACACACTGTGCCAGTGAGGAGCAGCAAAGACTGGTTCCCAAAGCAGCTCCATCCAGCCCTTCTAATCTTGGGACATTTTCAAGGCTCCCTAAGTGACAGAGAAGATCCCAACCTCCAAGTAAAGAAGGGCCCAGGCACCTTTCTGATGGGCATTTCTTCAGTTCCCCAGACCTGAGCCAAGGAAGTGCTCTCAGCGAGGGATCATGCTGCTTGTTACTTACCTTCCACAATATCCCCTACGTAATGATTGAGGGTCTGCGTTAGCTGTTCAACGCCACGGTCCAGACTGGTGTCCATGCTAAACTTCTCCGACAGTGCAGTAAAACCTGTAACACAAACAGCAGTCAGGCAGCCACTGGAGGAGGCAAGAAATGGCAGATGATCTCAGCGACTGCAGTCAGACATGCTTTGTGTTACCTAAAATGTGCTGGATACATAAGAAAAAAAGTTTAACAAAACTTATTTTCCATTTAAAACTGATTTATTAAGCAAAGGAAGTATTATCTGTAGTTAGTGAATTCAACTGGAGTTTCTAGGTCACCACGTCCTTCAAGATTTTAGAACAAGTCGATCGCATCCTCTTTCACCTTGTTTTTGTTTTCAATTGGAAGAGGAAAACAAGCATTCCCTCTTTTTCAACTTCCAACTGGCTTCTTAATTTTGAATGAACTAGTCTTTGAACTGAACTAGCTGAATAAACAGAATATTTTCTTTATTTCATTCTGCACCGCACAAGAGGCTACTGCTGCCAAAAACTGGTTTAGCACATCAGCTAACTCTGGTTCCAGGTGCTTAGCCAGTGACTTCCACCGGCTCATTTGAAATGAAATTTGACTTTCATTAAAACTTGGCAACAAATGTGTACTGCTAAGTATTATTTTTGTATGTAATTTAAATGATTTTAATAGGCTATAAGTTTAGGCCTTAACATAAGTTGCTAATTTCAAGTTTAATTTTAAATCGGGTTGTTTTTTCTTAAAATAAATCTATATTTAAATAAAAATAATCCTATTTAAATAAAAAAAATCCTTTTATATTTTTTTAATTAATTTTTATCCACCCGGCATGCAACAGTCCCTGATTTTCAAGTCCCTAGTTCTTTCAGTTCACTTTGTTCCTATGCTGGAACTCTCCCTGCTTTCTAGTTCTGATCCTTCCCCCACTCCATTTGACCCTGTTTGCCATGAGATCATGCTGACTCTTCTGAGAGAGGTGGCAGAGATCCAGGGGAACATGCTAAAAAGCATTAAGTCCTTTCTAGGTAGTGATGGGAAATTGCTCGTCTCCCATCAGACCTTTCACTTGCAGAGTGCCACAAGGATCAATTCTCTCTCCAGTCCTATTCAATACCTACAAACTGGTCAGACAACAGGGACACAAGTGCCAGCAATATGCAGATGACACACAGCTCTGCTTCTCCTTCCGCATATACATATGACTATACCCCTACCACCAAGATGGCCCAGTGCTTGGAGGAGATCAGTTCATGGATGGAGAACACCTGATTAAAGCAGAACCTGAGCAAGACAGAGGAGATGCCAGTGGGTAAAGGCGTTTGCAATCACAGTGCAGTCTCCTTTGGTTGAAGGTACACATCCATCGTTGGTCAATTCAATCTGTAGTTTAGGAATGCTCGCTGATGATACAATCTCACACAGTAGCATCCTCGAGTAACTTTCTCTACAACATCCAGTTGTCTAGGAGAGACTCATCCTAGAGAATGATGACCTGGTCTCTGTTATATATGCTTTCCTCACCTCCCAGCTGGGCTACAGAAATGCAAAATACCTGGGCATAAAGCCTTCACACCTCAGAAAACTGATAATGTGGCAGCACATCTCCACAGCAACACAAACTATCACAACCACATCAAACCTATCCTCCCACATAATACAAAGTCAAGTTCAAGGTCCCAGTCCTTATCTTCCAGGTACTCTTTGGCCTGGGCCCATCATATCTAAAAAATTGCATAAAGTTCCAGGATGGGGACGGCAGTTGACAACTCTGCCCTGAGCAGCTGCTGCACCATCCTCTGCTACTCCTGTCCCAAACTCTTTTGAGCCTAAAGACGCCAATTCTGCAAAACGGTCAACGTAATAAAGACGAAAGTCCCTAAGCCATTTCAGCTGTGACTTCAGCTAGATTTGGGCCCAAGTCTCCCATTACCGCAGACAATATCTCTTTTAAACCTTCCATGTACTAAGGCTGGGCTTTTCAGAAAGGCCTAATAAGGGAGTTAGGACTTGTCTACACGGTGAGTTACTGCACAATAAGCCAAGGTGTGACTCTACAGCATACCAGCTTGCCACCCAGTCACTCATCGTATGGACACTGCTAAGTCGTGGATATAGCTTAGCATGCTGCTGGTTGAGAGCACAGTACATCAAGCCACACTCTGGAACTTTTCACTCTGGTGTAGCATTGTCCACACACCGAGTTAGTGCATGGCAAGCTGGCAACCTATTGATTCGCACCCTGGCTTGCTACACAGTAATTTGCCATGTAGACAAGCCTTTAGGCACACAAATCCCATTGATTTTAAATGGAAGTTGGGCACCTAACTTCCTTGGGCCCTTCTGAAAATCCCACCCTTAATAATCTCTCTACCCACCTGAAATGTCTGCAAAAAGCAATACTCCATCAAAATTCTCAATGAAAGGCACCTCCTGGGAGAAATCACCATATACGATGAGATCGGGGACATGAGCTGCTACTTTCCCAATTGTAGTGCTGTCACTTGGCTTTCTTTGCTCCATTTTGGCAATGAATGCAATCTGCTGCCCAGGGTCCTGCAACACTGATGGATAATTCAATATATGATCCTCCCATTCAGGGAAGGAGGTGACTCCCACTAGCCTGCCATAACCGTGATCACTCTTGTGATGATCAGACAGCAGCCCCATCAAGGACAGGTCACAATTCACTGACGGAAGGGTCTCAGCCAGTAACATTCTGTGTATATCACAGTCTACGTAGCTACAGTTGCTAGGTGAGACAAGCTTCCTTCATTAATGTATTTTAAACCCATTTACACAGAAATGGTGTGATGGGGTATAGAAACCCCACACGAGTCTGGGCTGTTGTGACTCTTGGATCTACAAGAGGCTCTCCTCTTGTAAACTCAAATGTAAAAAGTATGTAAAAGTTCTTAAGATGTTACAATAACCATGAAAAATAGGTCAAGTTGTTTACGACCCTGGATGTTGTAACAAGTCCAAAAGAACCAGACAAAGAAGTTGGATGAGTTTAAACCAAAAAGATCATGTTGACATAATCCAAGAACTGTTGAAATTATGATTGGTAAAAACACAAGATGTGGAACCAGAAGTTAATTGTCCAAAACTGGTGTGATGGATATGAGGCCTAACTGGTGAGAGGGATGAACTATGACTCTCACTTTTCCTCTTTTTGGGTTCCTTAAAAAGAAACCGTGAAAAAAAAGACACGATCAGTTCCGTTCAGATCAATTCAGTTCAGCTCTCCCTCTCATCTCTCATCTCACCACCTTGCATACCAGCTCATCCCCCGATCTGCCAGCACTGCAACTCATCCCAGCTCACCTTGACTCATCGAAAGGACTTTCTTCCTGAGAGGAAGGCCGGCTGGCCTTAATCTTGTTCGAGGTACTTTGTTTTCACCTGTGAGTGCTGAAAGTCATCACACGATCATGACATCCAATCCTCAGCCCATCAGTGGGGATATCCGATTGCCAGTACTGCAGAGGCATGTGTAAGAGCTTGTACTGTTTTCCCTTCCCCTGTTGTGTTATTTTGTAGCCCCCCCCCCCTTTCTATCTCTCAGTCTCTTGACTATTTATCAAATTCTGAAGTCAACTATGGTGTATTCATCCAAGCCTGATTGTCTAAGAAGAAAAGATCCAATCAGATGAGGTCCCTGACCAAATCGTAAACCAGGATCCAAGCAGCAGGTGTCATGGTTGACTTGCCAACCAAAAGCACCCACTCATAACTAACCAGCAGTCCAGTGTTTCAAAACCATCAACAAAAGCCATATTTCACCCATCTTTTCTATCCTCTCTGTTCTCTACCTTGTGTCTGTTAGTTAAGAACAGGATAAGTAAATGCACTCTACACATCAAAACTGAGAGTAAAATTAACCCTTTCCTTTTCATCAAAGAACAGTTGTTCTGAAAATATGAGTCTGCTATTTTGTCTCCAAAAGGAGAAGGGCTTTCAAGGTTTTGCCTAAGTTTGTTTTGCATAATCATTCAACCACAGTTTGACTATAAATGCCTGTTTTGATTTCTTGTTCTTTCTTGTTTTTAATCAATAAACTTTTAATTTAAATAATACTTTTGAGTGTTTGCCAAGTTACTGAGTAAAATCAAGCCCTCTGTTTAAAATAACCCCAAGCCTATCTATCCCTGTTTGAAGTTGGACAGTGAAAGAGTTTATAAACACCTTTAACTCTTTGGGCTTTTGAGATCAATATCCATACAACAAGGCCCAGTCCATCCCATCCTGTAACACCTCAACCAAGTGTCAAGCTTCAAGGGAGGAGGGAGAACCCAACTCAGTTGTTTCCTGGCTGGAAAAGAGAGCAAGTCTGAGGCTTTCACGGTGTGAGAGATTGGTTGGGGCCAGAAACTGGGGAAGATAGCTACCTACCAAGGCCTGCCTAGGGGAAGGGAAGGGTTTATGCTGCTTTGTGTTTATTTTGGACTTTGGGCACCCCGATAAGGTGGAACTGTTACATGACCTAGCTGAAGAGCTAAATCCCTTCAGTCCAGAAGATGTTTGAGACTGGGTGGAGCAGTGGAGGACCAGGAGGGAAACAGAGGCAGAGCCATGGCCACACAGTGCCATGCCATGAGGGGGTATAGCAGGAGGACATGTCGCCACAGATGGTTAATGCCATGAGACTCTGATGGTCTTTCCTTTCAAACTCTGGGCTTGCTATGCTTCCCAACTCAATAGTTGAGTAGAAATAAGGAGGCTATATTACCTCTGTATTTGGCACTGGTGTTACCGCCAGTTCTAGTGTCCACAAGTCAAGAAGGATGTTGAGAAATTGGAGAGGATACATTGTTCAGAGAAGAGTCATGAGATCGGAAAGGGATAGCTCAGTGGTTTGAGCATTGACCTGCTCAACTGAGGGTTGGGAATTCAATCCTTGAGGGGGCCATTTAGGGATTTAGTTGGGGATTGGGCCTGCTTTGAGCAGGGGGTTAAACTAGATGACCTCCTGAGGCACCTTCCAATCCTGATATTCTATGATTTATGGATTGGAAAACATGCCTTCCAGTGAGAGGCACAAGGAGCTCAATCAGTTTAGTTTAGCTTTCTCTTTGTTAAGGGGAGACTTGATCACAATCTCTAAGTACATACGTGGAGAACAGAAATTTGATAATGGGCTCGTCAGTCTAACAGAGAGAGGTGTAACAAGATCCAAGGGCCAGAAGCTCAACCTAGTCAAATTTAGACTGGAAAAAAGGTGCAAATTTTGAACAGTGAGGGTAATTAATCACTGGAACAGCTTACCAAGGGTTGTGGTGGATTCTTCATCACCGGCAATTTTAAAATCAAGATTTGTGGGTTTCTAAGAGCTATGTTTTAGTCCAAACAGGAATTAATTCAGGGGAGTTCTCTGGCCTGTGTAATACAGGAGGTCAGATTAGATTGTCACAATGATCCCTCCTATCCTTATAGTAGTCCTTATATTTCCTCCAGTTCTCTCAGATGATACCTCTCTAAGTGCTCTCTCCCAATTTCCCCAGACTGCAGCCCCTGCAGAGAAGCTACCCATTTGCTGCCCTATTGTTCCCTGTCCCCTTCCAATAGAGACAAGGAAACGAATGGGAGTCAGAGGGCTGACTAACCTCTGTAAAAACCCTCCACACAGTGTCCTGTTGCCTTTCCCATTGTGACCCATGAAGATGTACTATTCCCCCTAGAGAACTTCTCATAAAGACCATCACCAGGGGCTACCCCTGTACATAAAGACCTGCTGCTCTAGAGATACCTCATTTGTTGTCCACCCTTTCAGAGAATACTCAGGCTGTGACCACTCTGACCGGAAAGTGCCTCTCACACACCTGCTACCCAAGAGATCTTGCTCAGAAGGGTCCCCCAACAAACCACACACACATAGCAATGACCTTCACCTGCTATTTCATGTCGATCCCACCCAGTCACATGCTAACCCCCCAGAGAATTCCCACATGGCAACCACCGCTCCAGTGACAGTTCCTAGACACTTAACAGATCTCTGGGCAGTGCAAGTACAGCGGTACGTATGGTACACCATACCAGCAAGATATTTATAGCCGGTACAGCGTAACAGAAAGACACAGGAGGAGCCGGTGGCTCCATGCCAGCAGCTCCTCTGGCACGGCTGTACCGCCCCCAGCCCTTCCCCCTGCCCTTCCACAGAGCTGCGTCTCCTCCATCTGTATGGCAGCCCAGCTGGAGGACAGGGCTGGGGGCGATACAGCCACCAAAGGAGCTGCCAGCATTCTGCTCCTTTCCCCGCTGCCCCTCCCAAACTATCTAATGATTATCAACATAGACTACACACACAAACTAGGTTAAAAAGAACATGATTAAGGTTGCAAAGTCAAGCACTCAAAATTTATGAAAGCCAGAATTAAGAGGTCAGACTTAAGGCAAAGAGGGTAATATTTTCAAAAGTACCTAGGTCCCATTAACTTTCAATAAGGCACTTAAGTGAATTAGGTGGTTTCAAGATAGGACTGGACTAAGGCTTCTAAGTCACTTAATTTTCTCTGACTGAAAATGCATGTGAAAGCCTCCTTTGTATGGTCGACGTATTCAAGGAAGGGAAACAAAATATACACACTCACACAAACTTCCACTGTACATATTATATAAATGCAAGGAAACACTCCTAAGCACTGTATATGGGCTCTTAAAAATGTAAAATGCACACAGCCAATGTCCTACAGAAGAAGGCCTTGATCCTAAATAACACATAATACAATGCTAAGAGGTGCTTCTTCACACCAGTAATTGTTTGAGTAAGGGTTTGCGGAATCAGACCCTCAGTAAGAAAAGAACAAAAAAAAGGAGCTTGGAGGCTGGTGTTACTACAATTCAGAGTTGCGTTGATAACTCAACTATGCATTCTGTAAGCCCCTGTGGGTAGGAAGCTTTCTTTGTCATTGGTCTGTAAATGCTATACACACCTATGGAATGTGTAAAGAACTCATATTCATAGCAATAACATTGTTGATGAGAGACAATGCACTGAGCCTTTTACAGGAGTGTAAGAAACCATGTATACTATTACAGGCACCAATACAAAAGAGGATTGCAACAGATGACTGGCTGCATCAGTCTAAAATCCCAATGCAAAAGCAGTGCAAAACTGGGGGCTTTGGTTATTTGTGTTTAATAATAGACATATATTTCTTGGATGGGGAGAGCGGTTAATCCCCATATTCAAATGATAGATTTCATGTGTGTGTCTGAGACATTCTGGTGGGGGACGGGAGGAGAAGGAGCAGCCCTTGCTAGAACAGGGAGGGATTTTCCCAACAGCATCATGCCTGCTGCCAGACAGGGGTGAATGAAGAGTTGAAAGAAAAGGCAGAAGCCCTACATGTCGACTAAGGCAGCTCTCATTCTCTTCTCTGTTGGGCTTTGCTGCCTTCTAGCAACACTTTGTGTGTGAAATAAACAGGAGGTTTTGTGTTTCCCCAGTGGGACTAGTGTGAGAAGTGCAGTTAAACTTTAATGCTGTGCGTGAACATAACCAGGCCAATTGCCTTGGTCCA